TCGTGTATGTATGGTCGTGTTTGTATGGTCGTGTATGTATGGTCGTGTTTGTATGGTCGTGTTTGTATGGTCGTGTATGTATGGTCGTGTTTGTATGGTCGTGTATGTATGGTCGTGTATGTATGGTCGTGTTTGTATGGTCGTGTATGTATGGTCGTGTATGTATGGTCGTGTATGTATGGTCGTGTATGTATGGTCGTGTATGTATGTATGGTCGTGTTTGTATGGTCGTGTATGTATGTATGGTCGTGTATGTATGGTCGTGTATGTATGGTCGTGTATGTATGGTCGTGTATGTATGGTCGTGTATGTATGGTCGTGTATGTATGTATGGTCGTGTATGTATGTATGGTCGTGTATGTATGGTCGTGTATGTATGTATGGTCGTGTATGTATGTATGGTCGTGTATGTATGGTCGTGTATGTATGGTCGTGTATGTATGGTCGTGTATGTATGTATGGTCGTGTATGTATGTATGGTCGTGTATGTATGTATGGTCATGTATGTATGGTCGTGTATGTATGGTCGTGTATGTATGGTCGTGTATGTATGGTCGTGTATGTATGGTCGTGTATGTATGGTCGTGTATGTATGGTCGTGTATGTATGGTCGTGTATGTATGGTCGTGTATGTATGGTCGTGTATGTATGTATGGTCGTGTATGTATGGTCGTGTATGTATGGTCGTGTATGTATGGTCTTGTATGTATGGTCGTGTATGTATGGTCGTGTATGTATGGTCGTGTTTGTATGGTCGTGTTTGTATGGTCGTTTGTTTGGTCGTGTTGTATGGTCGTGTATGTATGGTCGTGTATGTATGGTCGTGTATGTATGTATGGTCGTGTATGTAATGGTCGTGTATGTATGGTCTTGTATGTATGGTCGTGTATGTATGGTCGTGTTTGTATGGTCGTGTTTGTATGGTCGTGTTTGTATGGTCGTGTATGTATGGTCGTGTATGTATGGTCGTGTATGTATGGTCGTGTATGCATGGTCGTGTATGTATGGTCGTGTATGTATGGTCGTGTATGTATGGTCGTGTATGTATGGTCGTGTATGTATGGTCGTGTATGTATGGTCGTGTATGTATGGTCGTGTATGTATGGTCGTGTATGTATGGTCGTGTATGTATGTATGGTCGTGTATGTATGGTCGTGTATGTATGGTCGTGTATGCATGGTCGTGTATGTATGGTCGTGTATGTATGTATGGTCGTGTATGTATGGTCGTGTATGTATGGTCGTGTATGTATGGTCGTGTATGTATGGTCGTGTATGTATGGTCGTGTATGTATGGTCGTGTATGTATGGTCGTGTATGTATGGTCGTGTATGTATGGTCGTGTTTGTATGGTCGTGTTTGTATGGTCGTGTATGTATGGTCGTGTATGTATGGTCGTGTATGTATGTATGGTCGTGTATGTATGGTCGTGTATGTATGGTCGTGTATGTATGGTCGTGTTTGTATGGTCGTGTTTGTATGGTCGTGTTTGTATGGTCGTGTATGTATGGTCGCGTATGTATGGTCGTGTATGTATGGTCGTGTATGTATGGTCGTGTATGCATGGTCGTGTATGTATGGTCGTGTATGTATGGTCGTGTATGTATGGTCGTGTATGTATGGTCGTGTATGTATGGTCGTGTATGTATGGTCGTGTATGTATGTATGGTCGTGTATGTATGGTCGTGTATGCATGGTCGTGTATGTATGGTCGTGTATGTATGGTCGTGTATGTATGTATGGTCGTGTATGTATGGTCGTGTATGTATGGTCGTGTATGTATGGTCGTGTATGTATGGTCGTGTATGTATGGTCGTGTATGTATGGTCGTGTATGTATGGTCGTGTATGTATGGTCGTGTATGTATGGTCGTGTATGTATGGTCGTGTATGTATGTATGGTCGTGTATGTATGGTCGTGTATGTATGGTCTTGTATGTATGGTCGTGTATGTATGGTCGTGTATGTATGGTCGTGTATGTATGGTCGTGTATGTATGTATGGTCGTGTATGTATGTATGGTCGTGTATGTATGGTCGTGTATGTATGGTCGTGTATGTATGGTCGTGTATGTATGGTCGTGTATGTATGTATGGTCGTGTATGTATGGTCGTGTATGTATGGTCGTGTATGTATGGTCGTGTATGTATGGTCGTGTATGTATGGTCGTGTATGTATGGTCGTGTATGTATGGTCGTGTATGTATGGTCGTGTATGTATGGTCGTGTATGTATGGTCGTGTATGTATGTATGGTCGTGTATGTATGGTCGTGTATGTATGGTCGTGTATGTATGGTCGTGTATGTATGGTCGTGTATGTATGGTCGTGTATGTATGGTCGTGTATGTATGGTCATATATGTCTAAAACCAACCTCCATCACATTGAAAATGGAAAATATTCGGTTCACTTTTGCAAAAAAAAAGTTCAGACGGCAAATATGAAGGCCTCAGATTATTTTATATTTTATCCAGGGTTGATAAAGTCAGTTTATTTTAATAATGGAAATCTCAAAACAAATACATAACAATTATTTTTGCACTTTGTTCTAGTAATATGTGTGTCTTTTCTTTGTCTAACATTATTATTCCCTTTTCGCCACCACACTGCGTTGTTGTTGAGTAGGCAGCAGATTGCTGTAGTTTCTCTTGCTTCAAACAGCAGAGACTCCTGGGGACATAGAGGGAAGCCCTGCTCTGAGTCACACACACCCACTGATTTTTCCCTTTCATAATCATCTTGCACCATCACATATCTGCCCCCGAAGGAGCCAGTGATGAAGGCTGGCAGGTGGAGAGGCGGAGGAGAGGCACACTGTGGCATCCAAGAACCAAGACCAGGGAGAGTCCAGAAAGTGGGCGGCAGCAGGCATTTTGAGAAGGCACTGTGCTTTACAAACTTAACTCCTTAGCCCTGCGAAAAAGGATTATTCCCAACTAGTTGCTTTATGTACCCTTTCGAGACATAATTATGGCAAAGGTAGTAGAGAGGAGACAAAACTGTGCATTATCAAGTGTTCTATTATCGCTGTTGTGGAAAGTCATGAGGAGAAAAGAGCCGGTGTTCTGTCGAGTGTGTCTGGACGTTGAGTTGGTCTTACATACGTCATTTTACTGATGAGTGTGAGTTTCCAGCAGAGGGGTTTCCAGTAGCTAACTCGACAGCCACGTGTCAATCGTTTAATAATATAAATAGTAAATGAAAAGTGAATGAATATTTTGTACTGTATCTAAGCTGATTATCAATAGTGTGTTTAAATGAAATATTCCTTATACGTCAGAAAAATGACGTATGCGCCAGACCAACTCGACGGAGTGCGGCCTGGGGGCCACGTATGGCCTGGTTCACATCTGCAAACTACCCAATGAGTGTTTGCAACTTAGGCTGCGGTCACATGCACAGCCTAAAGCCCTGTTAAAGTGGGCCCTGGCCCACTTCGCGATTAGATCCGGGCTTTAGGTGCTATGTAACGGTTGCAGAGTGTAAACAGGAAGAGAAACGGAAACTTAACTCTGACAACTAGGTCGTCACTGGAGTTAGTATTAGCGCCACCAGCTGGACTGAGCGTTGTACTACAGCACAGTTGCACTGGCACGGTTAAAAGAACAAGCCCTTGTGACCGCGGGCCGTGCTTCACACCCCTGTGGCGATGATCTGGGCCACTTTGCCTAGTTCGTTTGTAAAAACCTATGTGACCGTGCCCTTAATGCTTATTGCTACAATGGCATGTTCTACCTCATAATAATTCATGAACAACCTTCGTCTGGCCACAACACCTGGCCTTCTTCAGCTTTAGACCCACTTTGGTTCAATCCAAGAATGAATCGAAATATAACAAAAATCTATATTTCATCAAAACAAATGTCCTCAAGTATGTATCATATTGGAAAAAGGCTAAAACAAAAATATAGCCCATTTAGTTCATACAAAGATAACTTTGCATCATCTTTATACAAAAATAAAAAAACATGACCCAATGTGGCCCACCAGAGAAAATAAATCTAGATCCAGAAATGTCTGTAAGGTATAGAACTCATCTATAATTTCTATCTTCTACAAGATGCCTCATAATTTACACTTAATTAGTTTACGCAATACCAGTATCCAGAATAATGCAATAGGTTAATTCTCCAATAGTTCCTATATGATTGTTGTGGTCTGAGAGGGGACCTTAATTTATTAGTTATTCAAGTAAAGTTGTTGCAGGTCTAAGCAAGGATGCTTTAGAAGTCAGAGAAATTAATGGACAATGATTTAAATAACTAAATATTTTCTCTTGTTCTGGCAAAGTCTCTGAAATGAATATGTGCATTACCTGTGCACTCCACCTGTACTTGCACAAGCTTTTTTCATCGTCAACACATTTTGTATTTTGGTCTTTCGACCTTTGTTTCACTTTTGCGTGGATTCATTTCTTCTCACAAAACCCTCCTGCAACACACACACAAGGCACACATTGTACAACTGCACTGTGCTCTAATACATGTTATTATGAAAGGTCTTAGACTAGATTTAGTGATAAATTATCAGTCTGTTTTGATCAGCTTGAAGTACTGTTTGTACTTTTATGGTTTAGTTTGTGTTGCACCATTTTTAACCTTTTAAATAAACCTAGTATGGCACAATTACCCGCATACCATGCCACATAAGACAGGAGATGTAGGGGTCATCCTTTTCATCCTCGGTCATCAGTCCTTTCTGTGACTGAACATTGTCCCTTTTGTTTTTACTATGACTAATCCCTTCTGGGCTGTCGTAGCTGCAGCAACAGCTTTACCCTGCAGACCTTTCCTACACATCTGCTTTTAAATAGACACAAGAGGTCTCCATGGTGCTTTTGTTATTAATCGTGACACACAAATGTTTGTATTTTGATCATTTATTTATCCATCCTGTCAAGATACCACATGTACAAAGTGTATAGTATATTTTACCATTAAAACACAGCGTATCTTTTCTGAGGTGACAAGAACTAACACATTTGGAATGTGTTTTTTCTTCAGTGCCGGATGGTGTGCAAAGATGTGTCTGCAGAGACAATGTACGATGTGCTCCATGATCTTGAATATAGAAAAAAATGGGACTCCAATGTCATAGAGACCTTTGACATCGGGAAACTCACGGTCAACGCGGATGTTGGCTACTACTCATGTATGTTACACGTACACACCCATGTGGAAATTATTCATTCAACATGACTGAGCCCTGTGCACAAGCTCTGCTCCTCACTGACGTGTTCACTGAGTTATCCTTATGTTGTCAACAGGGAAATGTCCGCCGCCCCTTCGAAACCGTGACGTCATCACCCTGCGCTCTTGGCTGCCAATAGGCCGAGATTACATCATCATGAACTACTCTGTCAAGCACTCTGTGAGTACACTCTGGTGGTCCTCTTTGACCATTCTAATATCAGGACAGAACGGGGCACGATGCCTATTCAGAAGGTAAATCATTCAAATGTGTGCCTGTTGGAAAAGGCCACTGCTGTCAAAATATAAATATTTGAATTGAATAAAGTAGGTCAGAAAGAATTAAATATTTATAATATCACTCATTTATAGAGCCACTGCCTCCTGCTGTTTTCCTTTTACTATCATAAATGCCTTAAGTATGACGCTAGGTGATTTATTGTTCTGGTTTATCCCATTGTCAACGCTTCAGGAATCTGTATACTGTAAGCCAAGGACTGAAACAAAATGAAGATCCGTGGACAGCTTGAACTTTGATTAGCCAACACTGGACTTGAGCCCAATTTCTGTAGTTTGGCTCATGACTTGTTTTTCCTTTCCAAGTAGAACAAGAGAATTAAATAAGTTTTGTCTTCACATCAGTATGTAGACAAAATATCTTTGCTCAAATTATTATATCCAATGGTTATCAACATGTTAGTTGCCAATATCGCCAATATCTTCCAGGATGCTTAAATTTTTTCCAGTTTCTGAACTCAAAGTGTATTTGAATTACTTTTGTGTGTTTGCGTGTCCGTGCCTAGTTTATGCTACTAGAATCATGTTTGCAGAAGGATAAGGTCTCTCATGTGACCGCCGGCTCCATCCTGCCCTCCGCATTCCTACATCAATAAGTCGTGGCTAACACAACAGTGGGCTCCTGTTTGCCCGGCTTTGTGTCATGAGCCAAGGTTACTTTTGATTTTCACAAGAATTTATCTTTCGTTCTTTCTATATGGGTCTTTTAACTTCTAATCCAATCACCAAAATGTCCTCCATATACAGTTAGTGCCATATGAGGGAGAGCATCATATCATGAAGATGAAGTTTCAACAGTCTTCCGCAGTGTGCTGCCTCTAATTAGCTGACCAGCTCTGCACATTATCATCATGAATAATGATGATGGGAGGAATAGCTGAACGAGGCAGCAGAGAATGTGAAAGCAAGAATAGACCTTACCACATAGGTGGTCAGAGTGCTGGATTTGTCTCTTGAAATTGTGACACGTGAGGAATATGGGAACTTTTTTAATTCTCAGTCAGAAGTTAAACTTGAAATGTTTAAATGCATCCCAAACCTTCATCCAAACAACACCCCTCCTGCCAACACTGTCAGATGTGCCATTTGGATTCCCAACCTCTCAATTTGATCTAGACAGTTAATCTTGTGGGGGTATCTGTGCCCTCAGAGCTGCCTTTACTGACAGAATGACTTGTAAAATGCGGCAGCATTTGGACTTAAAGAAGTTCCCTACGCCGCTCAAGCACCACTTTGACAAGACGTGCTGATGCTATTACCCGCAGTGAATGATAATGAGTGTCATTTTGGGCCATTGTCTTCCTCTGCAGAAATACCCTCCTAAAAAGGACGTTGTTCGAGCCGTGTCCCTTCAGACTGGCTACATGGTCCAGAGTCAGGGGCCCGCCACCTGCACCCTGACGTACATGGCCCAGGTCGATCCCCGAGGTAACCAAAGGACACATAAATAACTACAGCACACATGCACTTACTGACTCAGGTGCTAATCGCTCGCTCATACTTCTAATGAATGATTCATTCTGCCTCCTTTATGTCAAAATGGGTCACCATAGTAACCATATGAAGGACGAAGACTGTTTTGTTGCTGGTCTCTTGCTGCGCTACATCTTATTACACTGCGCTGCTTAAGTGTGAAGAGTCAAATTGTACAAAATTAGACTTGATAATGGTGCATGCACTGGCACTAACAGCTTGAGCAAAGCCTTATTTCCTAATTGCATTTCTTGTTGTTTTGCAGGTGCTTTACCTAAGTGGGTTGTCAACAAGTCTACCCACTTCCTTGCTCCTGGTGTAAGTAGTCTTCTTTATTATTATTATCATTATTATTATTATTGTTCTTGTTGTTATTTTTATAACTATCATTATTGTTATTTGTTTTATTATTATTAACAACAACGTAGGGGCTATTGTGTGTATTATTTATATATATCATTAACAAAACCTCTCAACAATTAAAACATTGAATTATATGTTTCAGGCAATGAAGAAGATCAACAAAGCATGTTTGAAGTATTCAGATTGGAAACAGAGACACAACCCGGGCCACAAACCCTGGCTCTACCCTGAACAGACAACATTACCCAGCATCCCCCTGTCAGACCTGAGCATTCAGCATGCCGAGAGCCTGGAGAATATTGATGAGAGCGGCTTGGCTGAGACCCAGGATAGAGAAGACGGCCACTGACAGCCCCGCACTCACATCCAGTACATGTACAGGGTAATTCAGGGATATACGCATGGCTGACGCGCATTCCGTCATTTACAGGTGTGCACTATTGCATTAGTCGGCATGAAGATACTTACTGTACAGGAAAATGCTGAGAGGAATGCTGAAACATAACTCACAACACACTCCTCGTATTCATAATTTATACCTAATAAACATCCCCAGATAATGCTCTCCGAGACAACATCTAGTCCGCAGGAATACTTTTTACATACTGTCAGAAGCATATTTAGCATTTCTCGTGCCTGATGTACTTGTATTTGTAATCGGAGGCTATCCAAAAGAACATAGTTGTACAGTAGACTTTAGTTTATCTGAGAGGCATATCACTGTAAGATTAGCTACCTCCCAATGTCCTGGATAAAAGTAACATGTCCTGTATGCAACTTGAAAGATACACAATTTATTTGCTGTTTATTTTCAAATACATAACCGACTCATGAGTCCCTGCCGTTGTTTTGATTTCATCTTTTTGAGTGATCACAAACGGGCAGCTGAGATCCCCATCTTTGAAGCTTTGTCACACAGCGATTTCATGCAAACTGTCAGCTCTTCTGTTTTGAGGGATGTATGAATGTATGTGGACCTAAACATGAAATTCTATAAAGTTTTTTTAATTTCACAACATTGTGTCTTCCCTATGTTCATGCACAGATGAGCTTTTGATAAATTGATGGTTATTAAGATTCACTGACCTGATTAACTCAATGACCTGTTCACATTGATCCATTGTTACGGCACTATTATTAGTGAATTAGAATGGGCAGCTATGACTAGACTGCCCCCCCCCCCCCCCCCCCCCCCACATACGACTATTGACTCCATGTTTTTCATTTATTGGCATATGAGCTTGTGGACTGACTTGTTCCTAAAGGGGCAGCAAATTAGGAAAAGCTTGCACACACACGACGATTGCAAAAACTCCTTTTAAAAATGCTATGCTGTATGAAAGACGCTTGTAAAGTGCTTACTTTGGATGCCATTTTCCTAATGAGGATTTGTATTATAATAGAACCAGTGTCCTATGATATGGGACATTTTTATGTGGTACAAGGCCTAAAGTCAAACCAAACCTACGTGATGACAAATTTATGGTTATTGATTTTGGGAATTGCACAGTTGTACCCGGAACCCATATTTGAGATTTCTGAAAGGCAGTGTCGGGGAGAATACTTTGTATTTAGTAACAGAGTACTTGCTTTAAAATGGATTTTATAATGGATTTTGTTAGGGGACATTCGGAGGACTATATTCCGAATACAGAAGAGCTTACTTGCATGATGTTATAGTGTAACGATTGATTAAAGAACATATTTTGCACCATTTTTATGAGTCATTTTTGTCCATTTCTATGTCTATATTGCATGATCAAATACCAAAATGTATATACCATTCCTCCCCAACACTGCTTCATGGATGGCCGTCTGGTCTACATCATCAGAGGTTAAACTCTTTACAATGGAGCATATTCTATAGCTTTCATGTTTGTGAGTCCAGTACTGATGGGAAATACCTTTCCCGGGTTTCCCGTTCAATAATATTTTTGAATAATCAGATTAATTTATTTGCCATTTGCAGTAAAACCACGTTGGAAAAACTGTGCAAGACTACCCCAGTGTGCACCAGACCAATAATAATAATCCTTTTTATTTGCCATTTACTATTTAAGTGAATGAATGTTTCATTTCTAAATACTGTGATTCTGGTGTAAATTTTGAATTTGGCCAAGTATTATTTCTACTGGTATTTATCACTCACATTACTGTGGGACGTAATATATATATATAATTTTTCATATGCAGTTTCGATTGTCCTTGAGGTTATGCTTTTGGCACTCCCTGGGAATGAGAAACGTGCAACATTTCTTGCAATAAGACCAAATGACTTGTCCCACTGGCAAATCTTGTTTTAAGACAGTCAGAATGCACTAAAATTGAGATAGAAATCCCTCGATTCAAGCACATTCTTACCTCATATGTTGTCATTTTTTGCCATGTATCATCATGGTGAAGTTTTTCTCATTCACACAGAGGTATCGATCCCCTGTGCACAGAGCCTCCCTCCTCTTTAGCAGCTCAATGGCCCTTGCCTCCCCACATCATTACATGCACAGGACATAGAGGAGAGGGGGCTTGCTGCACTAGTTCATGCATGACTGTTAAAGACCGTCCCAAGCTGCCCTTTAGGGTTGTGTGCACTTTGGGAGCAGACATGAGCAGTGTGTGCAGATGTGTATGTAGTGCCACCCCCACAGACACTGATGACTCACCACGGCGGCCCCACCCACTCCCCTTCATCCCGGTTTACCCCATATCCTCTTTTCGTGCTCTCTTCTGGCTGTCCTCTCAATGCTTTTTCACCTGTTTGGGTAAATGTTTCCGAATCGTACCATCAAATACTGTTTGAATGATGAATATGAGCGCCACCAGGCCCATGCATGAATCATTTACCCTGGAAATATTTAGAGAAATATAAGGTCTAACTAATTTGAATATTGTTAAAAAGGCCCTGTGATAGCTTGTGCACTAAAATGACAAATAATGAGCTATTAATTGCTTAAATTAAGTGGTTTTTATCCTAATTTGAGTAAAACCTGATTGGCCAATGGGACGAAGCCATTTAGTCATATTTCAAGAACTGTTGCATTCTTTTTCTCATTCCAAGGGAGACATTTCTTGTATCTTTTTAAAACAAGATCATGTTGCTTATCCCATTGGCAAATCTTGTTTTACGACAGTCAAAATGTGCTCAAATGAAGAGCACATTTGGCCAATTTTGAGCAATTTTAACTTATTACAATCACTTTTTGCAGTGTGTTATGTCCGTGCTTAGAATTTTTTACAGTATGACAACATATAGAGAGGGATGTCTGCTCTCAAACAACATTTTTGAGCAACAATATCACCTGTAATTAAAGTCAATGCTATAATCCAAACGATGGAACAGTTGAAACATTCTAGGCAAGGCATTAACTTCTCCATGAATACTCCCACGAGATAGATCCTCAGTGCATCCTCAATGTTATCAGCCTCTTTTATTGACATTGTGAACAGGGAATTCACAAACTAGGAATTGGCTTGGGCATTTATGGTGCAATAACAATAATAGAATGGTAAGATATAGATAAAAGACATACATAAGTCTTGATACCATTATTATTGAGACGTAGGGCTATACTCATTGTCAAAGTCTATATAAACAATGAGATTCTCGCATTGGTTTTACTACTCCGATGATAACCATAAGAAAAAAAAGCCTTGTGCCGGTATATAGAGCTCTGTCTTTATCCAATCTTCTCATTGTGCCCCCAGGTCAGTTGTAAAAGGCGCCGTACACGTCAAGTCATTGATTTGTTCGAGAGTATATTGTTCACAGTGGCCAAAGGGAACTGGCGTCAGTGGCAGAAACAGAGTGAATTACACACTTGGGAATACATCCCCACTCAGACTCTCACACTCCATAAGCACACATTATAAGACATCAGTGTGTGTCATCATCACCTTGTCTATAAATGTATGCATGTGGAAAAGATCGGGGCTGGGATTTTGGTGGCCCTATTGTAGACCCTAAATGATACATTAAAAGAAAAAAAAAAAGAATAGAGAAATCAATAATCTCTAGGGGAGGGCTGCACATTTACAGTTATGCAGGTTGGAGTTGTCTTTCTGCCAACAAATTGCCAAAGGGCCCTATATTTTGTGGCATTTTACACGTAAAGTAACCATTTTTAATTGCCAAAAATTGATTGATCTGAGCAGCTGCACAAAAGAACCCCCTGGAATCTTCATTTGCATTACTATCCAACTATACAGTATAAAAACAAAAAGGTAATCCATTATGTATTATAGGGTGCTCCACTCAGATACAAAATAATACAATAAAATAAAAAGATCTTCAGCAAGTGAGGAGTTTTTCACAGACTATCTCATGTATGTTTTTATGTCTCAGTCACCAGGTATTCTAGTTTTAGTCCTGTTTTTATTTGTATAGACAATAATATGCATAATAAACTTCTCACACCATTTGAATATGTTATAATTGTTTCTCCTTGTCATTTACAATCTACTAGATCCTTTTATTGTGTAAACATGCCCCATGTCTGAGTTAGTTGCCCGTCGAACCATTTTCGCTGAAAACTAGAACCGGCACTGGCCACAACAGTGATAAAATATTTAGTCACATCATACGGAACATTCTGTATCTACATTAGGTTTGTACCAGGTCTTAGAAATAATGCACTGTTTCTAGTTTTACATCAAGATTAATTCAAATAAAGAAAAAAATGTGAATTGGATTATCCCTACAGTAATGAAATTCAGTCTCCTCCATCGCTCCAAACCCCAGTCACTTTTTTCGCATAAGTGGTGAAGCCAATAGTGCAGCACGAGTGTGTCTAAAAATAGCTTGAGTGGGCCAGAGATAGGGACTTAACGCCCCCTAGTGGTCCATATACGGTATTGCAAGTTGTCACTTTTTTTGAATAGATCCTCTTGGATATTTGTATCGATGCAAAATCATAATTCATAAATCTGGACAGTTTGCCAGCTTTGATAATAAGTCCATAATATACCTACATATCACACGTATACAATCACATCGCGTTGCTAACAAAATAAGACTTTTAATTGGATTCCTTGTGATATTTTGTCGTAATCCATGCACAGAGAAATATGTTGACACACTCGGCTGCCTGCGAACATGCTGGGCGGTTCACAAGTCCAGTTCAGTACTCGCGGTCACATGAGGGTCTGGCGGAAGTTTTCACAATCAAGCTCAAACTTTGCTCTCAAAATTTATGAAAATCAAAGGCGGAACAACATTAGCGCACTTCCAAAATATAACGCTCATGAACAGAAACTGCCGCACTGTGTTTTATTTTGAAAGAACCCAACAGGAAACAGTTTTGAACCTTCCACGCGCTTCTTAACTTTGTTGCTGAGCCTGGTTTATTCGTGAGAAAAGTGTTATCCGCTATCTGGCCTCGCTATTGATGCGAAGAAGCGACTGAAACCACCAGACCCTCGCTGCAAATCTGGCACTGGATGTTTCAGACCTGAAGGTAAGCCACTTCATGCCTGGCACGCCTGATTTTGTGTGTAAAATGAGTTGTTATTGAAGCGAATGGAGTTTAAAAGTGGACAGAAAGTGTAGTGTGTGTCCAAACATGACCCTTTGCCTAATTGGCTATAATTGAATCTTTTAAACAAAATAGACTTTAAAGTGAATTTGTTTTGCTCTTTGGTCAGTTCTTCTTTTTATCAGCATTGTGGTTATTTCATCAAAAAGGAGGAAATGGATGCAGTGTGGACATAGGTCATTGAAGTGTCCCCCCCCCCCCTTCTCTCCCCCTTCTCCCCCCTCTCCCCCCATCCACCATCCAGCTCCCAGCTCAGTACCAGTAAGGCTCTATACAGTTGTTTATCCCCATTGGAATCCATCTGCTAATCTGGCTGGTTTTACATTTTTAGTGGCCGTTGAATTGAGGAAACACAAACGTCACAGTATTCAAATAGAGAAGAGAGATCTGCAGCAGTTCTACAGTAATGAGAGTTGTTGTAATCAGTAAAACATTTATTCAAACTGCTTTAAGATGTTTTTTGTTATGTATTCAGTACTTGGGTTATTCAGGGTAATCCATGCATAGTGTGTTGCTTTATTTGATGTAAAACAGGGGATTAAAAGATGATTTTTTGTCAAACTAATGCTTACATTGTTTTTTAACATTAAGGAAAATCACACATGCCTGCCCACATGGTAGAAAGTATTGTAATTCTGTTCAGTTTGAAGCCAAATCTGTATGATCCAATACAGATATTCATTCCTATAAGTGGAAACAGACTCCCACCACCAAGAGAAAAGGTCTGCAAATGATGTGAAAGTACTGTTTGTTCTTTTAGCAAATATTTTGTCTAAAAGTGAAACGCATCCGCTCACAGGTTTTCTGATGTGACAAAATGGAAATAATTATTAATTTTTACTCACTGATCAAATTGTGAGATGACTGATATAATTCCATGAGAAACAATAGTATTGTAGCGATAATGCAGGACATCGTGACCTTTGAGCTGGTTTATTTCACATCGCTAACATGAAATGGGCATCAATGTCTGTGAGAGTATGTGTGCGCAGGAATTACTGGCCTTTTTATATATGACCCTTACAAGGCCGCAAAATCTTAAATGGCTAGATATTGCGACTATCCATCCATATCAATTTTCTTTATCTGTTGCTGTTGAGGCAGTAGTTTGAGCAGATACACCCAAACACACACCTCCACAAGCTCATATGGGGCGTTCCCAGGCCAGCTGAGAGTTCTGGTCCTTCCAGATTTTCTTAGCCATCTGGTTCCCTTCGACGTAAAGAAGCAGTGGCTTTGCTACGATCTCCTCACCCTATTTTCAAGAGAGCTACTCTGTTGAGAAAACTCATTTTGATCTTTAGTATCCGTGATCTTGTCCTATAGGTCATTCTCCAAAGCTCAGAACCATAGGTGAGATTGAGAGGTCTCCTTCTTCACCACAACAGTATGACATTGCTCTGACTGCAGACGCTGCTCCCTCTTCACCAAGGCAAGGCAAGTTTATTCATTGAGATGATCCACAACAGTCCAACACAGCTCTGACTACAGACACTGCTCCTACTTCACCACAACAGTCTGATTCCGCATCATCTTTTGTATACCAAACATGGCGTCTTTTTGTCATTCATATCAGTGTTTTATGTTTGATTCCGTTCACAGAAAAAACACACAAGAACACTTAGAGGTTTAGTCATTTACTGTTATTAATTGGGATAGGTCTGTCTTTATATTATTATAAAGTCTTTACTGGACAACATAAACACATATTAACCAATGGATAGTTCCATAATTGGTCAAGCAAATGCAGCGTTTCAGAGAAAAGCCAACGAGCGGCTCCCTGAACCGTGCAAACCATTTTGCTGAGCCATCACATATTTGTGCTGCATAAGTTACCCCCAGTCCACTGCAAAAGTAACACCACACATCTGAGCTCATCACAATATTGCACTCGCAGTACTTCACATTGTGTTGTTTACCACAGAGAATGCAAGCACGTTTTAAGGCTGAACTTTCTGTATCTTCTGAAATCTGCTGTGTCCAATACATTGTTGTTCTTCCTGTATCTCAGATTGACTTGATAAAATGAACTGACTCACACAGAACAAGTTTAATCAGAGGAAAGAAAGTCCTCCACATCCAGTAATGGAAGGAACTATTTTCATTATCGTTTCATTCAAAAGCCTCCAACAGATGTAACTTATCTTCTGCTGTGTGCTCCTCATTCCTACTGCTCTGTAACTTGTGATGCAACACTGACATTTCCCCGCTGTGGGACGAATAAACTATCTCTTAATCTTAATTATAAAACAAGATGCATAAATGTCTCAATTTTAAATATAAAATAGTTTTGTCTGGAAATCACAAAGTCACATAAATTAGTAGCTAGACTAATCGACTATCAAAATAATTGTTAGTTGCAGAAACAAGTTTATAACACAACATTTTGGAATTGATTTTTGTTTTTTACGAGGGTACTGTATGTAAAACATTACTGTTGTAAAATTTTGAATCAGTATTTTCAGCTTAGGATATATCCCACTAGATGTACAACAAGACTATTTGCTTTTGGTCCGAACCAGTTTTAAAGATTTGCCAGTTTTATTGCGATATAGCACGGGCGGCACGGTGGCTGAGTGGATAGCACTCTCGCCTCTCAGCAAGAAGGTCCTGGGTTCGAATCCCGGCCGGACCAGGGCCTTTCTGAGTGGAGTTTGCATGTTCTCCCCGTGTCTGCGTAGGTTTCCTCCGGGTACTCCGGTTTCCCCTACCACTAAAAATATGTACAATAGGTCTGGCATGTGCCTCCTGTACTGGCGACCCCGCTCCCATCTGTGTGGAGTGGGAGACTAATGCCCAAAAATAATAACAATTGTAAACCGCTTTGTGACTCTGGTCTGTGAGAGGCGGTATATAAATAAAGATTACTTACTTATTTACTTAGCACAAAATGTTCTCCCCTTTTAAGATTTGAAATATATTTTAAACCCAAGACGCCAAACCGTTTAATGAAGTAATCTCAATATTCAATTTTTCGGCTCTTTTTGGAAATTTCTCACATTCGATTTGTCCCAACTCCTAATCTAAAGAGAGGATTTTGTGAATCCAGATCACAAGTTTAAAACATAATCATAAAATAACGGAGATCAGAAACGGCCTTTAACATCTTGCTAACTACTAGTTCACAGCTTGAGTTCACTGGAAATAGTTTTGTTATGTTGAAACAAAGCGGGACAAAACACAGAGCGGGACAGGAGCAGACTGAACAAGCTGGTCAGGAGGGCCAGCTCCACTCTGGGCTGCTCCCTGGACTCTGTGGAGGAGGTGAGGGACAGGAGGCCCCTGGACTCTGTGGAGGAGGTGAGGGACAGGAGGCCCCTGGACTCTGTGGAGGAGGTGAGGGACAGGAGGCCCCTGGACTCTGTGGAGGAGGTGAGGGACAGGAGGCCCCTGGACTCTGTGGAGGAGGTGAGGGACAGGAGGCCCCTGGACTCTGTGGAGGAGGTGAGGGACAGGAGGCCCCTGGACTCTGTGGAGGAGGTGAGGGACAGGAGGCCCCTGGACTCTGTGGAGGAGGTGAGGGACAGGAGGGTGCTAGCCAAAGCCACCTCCATCATGAACAACACCTCCCACTGCACAGGACTGAGGAGGAGCTGAGGAGCTCCTTCAGTGGAAGACTGAGACACCCTCAGTGTAGGAAGGAGCGCTACCGCAGGGCCTTTATCCCCACCGCTGTCAGACTGTACAACAAGTCACTTTAAATGATCACTGTGTGAAAACCTGCACTACTATTGACACTTGTCACTTTTGTTGTACATAAATATTGTCACTTTATTGTACATATATCCTGGATGTAACATGTTTTTACATTTCCTCCTTTTGCACAATCTGAGTGTCTCTATCCATGCCAAATGTGTTATCTTATCTTATCTTAAATAGATATAATCTTTCAATAGTTACGGCCTTTTAGTTTGTATTTAGCTGTGTATAACAAAGGAGATGAACAATTACCCGTATCTAAATACCTCAAACTGTGTCAATCTCAAAGGGAGAGTCAAATACATAGATTTTTGTCATGCTTGTTGTGCTGTTGTATAGTTTATATATTAGGAAACATAAAGAAATGATCAGAGTGACTTAGGAGCATAATGTTTTTATGGCGCACTATATCTGACACATCCCTCAATGTCACTATAAGGAAACCTGAGTCTATGCTTTTCAGGAAACCCAGCGCTTGAGGCTCTGCTGTGGTGGGGAAACAGACGAATCCCACGCAGACACAGAGAGAAACAAGCAAATTCCACACAGAAAGATCAAACCTGCGACCTTCTGGCTGCCATAGTTCAAATACGTTTCTTTACTGGCAGCACTGAGTCACTCAGGTCTAATTGAAAGTTGGAGAGCACAGTTGCAGAGATATGAGTAATTTCTCCAGTGGGTATTTGTTAACTCCTTCAGAGGAACATGCAGGGGTCTGACCGTCTGAGCGCGGTCACTGGAAAATGTCTAATCGAGATGTTGCTCTATGTTTTCACTGCTTTCACTTGGGTCAACACAATTAAGTCCACATCTAATTACTTTTGTTTTTTCTATAGGCTGAGCATTTCCAAACTATGTGGCCCTTTGCCTCGCTAACCCAAAGTAATCTTCATCCAGCCAATATAAGAATGTTGTACCCTGTTTTAAAGATCAGTGACGTCACGAGAACAGTTGGATTTTCTTCTGAAGGGAACCAGTCCAGAAGACCAATAACTGTGGTCCTGAGCTGACCAAAATAAGGATTCACACTCACAGTTATATGGGGCAGTATCCAAACGGTAGGTATTGAGCACCCTCTCTGAAGTGTTAACATATTTTAGCTTTTTACACTGATAACACTCTTAATTCACACATTTATAAGTGTGTGCTTGTGAAACTTGCTCATTACTGTTACTCAACTCGACATGAATTATGGCTTTCCGTCCATTTTCAAAGCATTCAAATATTCTGAGATGTTTTATTTGGGGTTTTCACCAATGTGTGCCAATGATAAACACAAGAAATACAGATTTGACATCACTGTTTGTACTGAGTCTGCTACTGTATATGCAGTATTAGTTTCATATTGTAAGTTGAAATTCAAAAGTAATTAGACTTTTGTATTTTCGAGTTTCACCTGTACAGTACATATATATAAAGAACAATACTTCTGTTTTCCATGGCTTTTGCAGTTCTCCCGGTCGCTGATTAATCCAACCACTACGGCTATATTTTCAGTTGTGCTATTTTGAGTACGTTTTTCACACATTATACTTGTTCTGTGTTGTGTGGCACGAAGCCTGTCTGTTAAGTGGGTGTCTCATTAAACCATCATTGAAAAAGAATCACACATTTTGATTGTTTCTATATAAAATGTAAGTGATGCTTGATACCAGCTTATAATAACAGACATTCATGATTAGTGAGTGTTTCATGGAGTAGAAGGGGATTGTACTTTAGGCACTAATGTCAACCTAATAATATTGTGGCGCTAGAAAGTTGATTTTGAAGTAAATATGGGGAGGCTGCATTTCAGATTCTCGTAGTAAAAATCTGCTGAGTGAAATAATTTCCCGAAAATGTGAGACAGACTTCTATACTTTTATCCAGGTAAAAAAAAGTTCTGTTTAACCATGCCACTGTTAGCATTTAGGACTTTAATGCCTTAATTTCGTTTTTGTTAACCACTTTGAGTTGCCTTAAACTTGTCTTTCCTTGTACCACCACACACACACACACACATATATATATAAATCCAAATCTGCTTTATTTTGTTTCAGAAAAGGGCTACCAATGCCAATGACCTGAAGGAGGACCGAAGGCAACAAACGAGGACTTCCAAGTCGTCAACAACATAATTAGGTGAGAACAGAGTGTAGTTTGAACAGTGGGCCTCTCAATGCGTTTCCCTGGCTCTTGTCACAGAGTTTGTGTGTGCGCGTTACAGAACCCTCCATTGTAAAGGCCACAAAGAGACCCTGTTATTGGCAGATTTGTGAGTGGGAGGGAGAGAAAGAGAGTGCTAGATGAGGGATAAGCTAAGCAGAAAGGGAAAGTGGGGACAGCCATTGGCATTTTGGAGGTGATGTATTACTTTGAATTGCAACTTGTGTGTGTGTCGTTTTAAGAACACGTTTCAGCTGGTGTTAGTTCATGCTTGGTCGCTCTTCTGCTTTCAGTTAGATCACAGTGTTTTCTTCTTGAGACAAGTTTTAGAATGAGTGAACACCAAAATGAATCTACTTTAGCCTTTAGTTTATTTCAGTCTTTTTGTTTTAAACCCATTTTTGTTACTACTCTCAACACACACACAAAAATAGATACATGTGTATCAATGTTTTACTCAGTGTTTAAATGTACGCTATTGACCCTTGAAGAACTCTACGAATAAACGTCTGTCTAGTTTTAAAATGGAAACGTTGTGAGCAGTTAGTCTGAGCCCGTGTGGTCAACCTGCGATTAGAGAAGGAAATGAGTGTGAGAAACCCGTGGTTAGAAGTTTGTTAGCAACGACCAAAGTATATGTTTATTTCTCTTCCTTATATTCTCTCTGGTTTTGTATTTAGTATAATACATCTTAATAACTTGCTTTTTGAAGAATCTGTTCTTGCTATTGAATAATGCTTTCTTGTTTTTTTGTTTTACTAAAAATATTTACTTAGTTACAGTTTCTGTGTTAGAGCAGGAGCGCCCAAACCTTTCGGGCTTAGACCCCCGATCCGCAACCCCCACAAAAAAGCTAAATTGATTGGATTGTTGTTATCTTGAGTAATTAATTGTGCTATTTGATCTAATATCATCAATTAAAGTATGTTAAGTATGAAGTATAATGTAGAAACGTTAAATGTAATCATCGGGCGACCCACGGCTGATGTCCCACAAAAGACTAACAAGTGGAACTTTTGTCATGAGTTTTATATTTATCATAACTGTTTGTTTTTGGATTGTTAGTGATTCATTTTTGTTTTCAGGTTTACAGTTTAAAATTAAGTTGGCAAAACAACAACAAATGTACTGTCATAGTTTAGATTTATTTCCTGTTTTATTTTGTAGTTTGTTATATCCCTGTGTCTGCTTTGGTTGTACTTCCTGTTTGATTACCTGCCCCGCCCTCATGTGTATCACCTGTGTCTCGTTAGTCTTGTATTTAGCCCTGTGTGTTCCTTCACTCCCGGTTCTGTCATTGTCATCCCGATCGTCTGTTTCAGTTCTTGTTCTCTGTGGTTTTTCTCGTTTTGGATTTGTAATATTTTTTATTAAATCCATTATTCTGAAGTTTTTGCATTTTGGGCCTCAGTTGTTTTTCACCTACGTGACATGTAGAGTAAATGTTTTGCATCACAGATGGTCCACTTTCAGCCACTGTTCCAGAGGGTTTGCACAGAAAGACCCTAAGGTGTGTGTGAGACCCTCCTGCATCGGCAAGAGCTTTTCCTTGCGGATGCAGGAGGGTCTAAGGACAGTGGTGATGATCCAGGACACTCGACAGTCAGAAACATTCATGGACATCGGTCATCTGCCCCCATGGACCAATACCAATGTGTTTTTTATCGGTGCATTTCTTGTGTTTGAATTTTTTGATTCTCTGATCTGTGTAAGCGATATTCAATGGTTTTGTAAAAAAGACACATAAATCCACAAACCAATGCCACTGATTCCTTAGGAGGCCACCCCACTGTGGGGTCTGGTGTTCTCTGAGGTCTCCCATCACAGTATCCTACCAGACTCTTCCCTGCTTACCTTCTCAGTCTGAAAAGATCAGGCTTATAAAGCTGTTCCTGGTATTGTCATAAAACAAACTAAATGTTTATACTGAGAATAGACTTGCTGGAGAATGTATCTATTTACATATTTTGTTTTTGGGTCCTCATGATCAGGGCTCTTGGTATTTTCAGAGACAGGAAATTTTCAAAATTGAAAGTTTGCTCTTCATAGGGGTCTTAACTACTGAGACCACGCCCCCTAAACTTTTTCTGTTCTACGTACAAATAAATCTTAAATATAAAGCGTTATATAAAATGTTTTTATCTTTTTCTACAGTGTTGCATGAACCATGAAATGACCTGATGTACCAGCTGGTATTTCCTCGAAGATGACGTCTCATTCAGATTTTTGTAAATCTCTGCCAGACTGGTTGAACGTGCTCCGTCTTGAGCAGTACGAGGAGACTTTTCTCAGTGCCGGGCTGACAACGCTGCTGGAATGTCGCACCTTGACACAGGAGAGACTGGAGCAGATGGGCATCAACCTTCCAGGACACCAGCGCCGCATTCTCTCCAGCCTCAGTAAAACTCTTGTACCCTGTGACACGACAGCTTCACTACCACAAGACCCACATTCTACGTTTATGGAGGAGAAAAGTGAACACGAGGATGCAATGATGGACAAACTGGTGCCCAAGCAGAGGCAAGTTCTGGGGAAAAAGGCAGTTTTGACCGAAGATGGGGAAAAAGTATTGACCGAAGATGTCAAAAAGGTGCGCCCAGTGCCCAAACAGAGGAGTAAGTATCGTGCGGCAGATCCAGTTTCTACAGATTTAACTCTAAACAAAGTTGCATTACCCCCTGTCCCGCCTCGCAGTACCCCCAACTGCCCCCCGCATCCCTTCACCTCCTCTAAAACCCCGCCTCCGATCTCCCCTCGCCAACACAAGCAGCAAGCGATGCCCGTAGTGCCCAGAAGGTCTACAAGGTCATCCAAAAGCCCCACCCACACTTTGGACCAACCACCCACAGCCCCTCTGTGCCAAGCTAGGCCCCTGAGTCTGCCATCCCAGCTGCTGAACTACACCATCTCAAATGGGGACAGAAAAAGGATATCGTCTACTGTGTCACCCATCTCCCCACCCACAGAAGACACAATGGCACCCCCTCTGCCCCCCAAATGTGGAACAGGACCAAAGGGGCAGCCTCCACAGCCACAGAGAGCCACTGCATCTCGTAAAGTTCAGAGGTAAGCTTTGAACTCATTAATACGATTACCAACACAAGTATCGACCAATGTTGATCCATCGGTATCAGACTTTGTTGTTCTCTTTTACTTGTCAAATTATTAGGCAAGTTTAGTCCAGCCTACTCGTAAAAGCATTTAGGTTGTACCACAGTCCAACAAAAGAGAAATGATACATGATTCTGTTGTTTTTCAAAAAGTAGAATACAGGATTGGATTTAGGTCTTGACCAGCGGGGGCGTGTTCTGGCTCAACGACGTCCATGAGCATGTGCGCTGACATGCTTGCAATCCCACTCCGGGCCGGTGGGGGTGGACCCTGCAAGAGAATTATTCAATCCTTTTGTATGGCGTCTTCTTTCCTCTCAAAAAAGGCTTTTACAAGATGGTCCAAAACTCTGCTCTTGGCCCAAAGCTACTTTCCTGATGTGTGTCAATGCTGAGGGGAGTGTTTATTTTCGGGACCAGTCTAGTTTAGCCGCTGTGGACTTCAGAAGGCACTCAGTGAAGTGAATGGGGCTGGTGCGTTTTTTCACATTTTCCTGACCCATGGCCATTTTGAAAAAGCCCCATAGAAGCCAAAAGTGGTGGCACATGAGCTTCAACGGCAGAGATAGGCGTGACACCTATCAGGTCACTGTAGTCATTGTAGATTCAGCTAAGTATTTTGGGTCATTGCCCTGCTGGAAGGTGAATCTTCGCCCGAGCCTCAATTCTCTTGCTGACTCTAGCAAGTTTTCCTCCAAAATGTCCTGGTATATGAGTCCATCCATTTTCCCAGCTATTCTTAAAAACTGTCCCTGCTGAAGATAAGCAGCCATTTGCATGATCTTCCCACACCATATTTGACATTGGGGATGGGGCGCTCCGGAAGACGAGCAGTATTATATTTGCGCTGTACATAGCGGTTGGGCTGAAAAGTTAAATATTTTCTCTCATCCGACCACAGCACATTCTTCCACATGGTAGCATGGTAGGACTTCTGGCAAACTTCAGAGTACAGCTGATGGTTGTCCCGTGTGTGCAGATTCCTCCAGATCAGCAGCAGTACTTCTTCTCAGCTCCTCCAGAGTCATCTTGAGACACTTGGTTGCCTTTTTGATTAGTGCTCTTCTTGTTTGATATGTTAGTTTAGGTGGAATGTTGTGTCTTGGTAAGTTTGCAGTGGTTCCATTCTCTTTTCTTTTCCGAAATGATGGATTGAACAATACTCCATGATATCTTCAAATGAAATTCTTGAAAAAGTTAGTAACCTGCACTTTTTATTTTAGCTGTATGTTTATATGCAAGTTATTTGATTGTATTGTCGAGGACTACAGATGGAAAGTAGCATGGTGTTAAATCTAATGTAACTGCACATAGTCCTTAATGAATTAAACTTATTCTTCTCCACAACTTTATCCCGGACCTCTCTGTTGTGCTCTTTAGCCTCCATGATGCAGTTTAATGATCAATACACTCTGACCTTAGCTCTGAGGCCCTCACAGAACACTTGCATTTAAGGCAAGGCAAGTTTATTTGTATAGCACAATTCATACACAAGGCAATTCAAAGTGCTGAACAAAACAAGAAAGCATTAAAATCATAAATAATCACAGTACATTAAAAAGAAAGATAAAAATATAAAATCCCTCAGTTGTATGCACAGCTAATCAGAACTGTCTTTAACCTGGTTTTAAACATTGTCATTGAGGAGGCCTGTCTCACATCTTCAGGAAGACTGTTCCAGATTTTAGCAGCATGAATCTGAAAAGCAGCCTCCCCATGTTTAGTTCTGACTCTGGGCACTAACAGGAGTCCAGTCCCTGTGCTCCTCAGAGTCCCAGCAGGAGTCCAGTCCCTGTGCTCCTCAGAGTCCCAGCAGGAGTCCAGTCCCTGTGCTCCTCAGAGTCCCAGCAGGAGGCCAGTCCCTGTGCTCCTCAGAGTCCCAGCAGGAGGCCAGTCCCTGTGCTCCTCAGAGTCCGGGCTGGTTCATATGGGACTAACATGTCACTAATATATTTTGGTGCGAGGCTATGGAGAGACTTGTAACAAGCAGAGCTGTTTTAAAGTCTATTCTCTGAGCCACAGGAAGCCAGTGCAGAGACCTGAGAACTGGACTAATATGGTCGTACTTCCTGGTTCTAGTCAGGACTCGAGCTGCTGCATTTTGAATGTAGTCTAACCTACTGGAGACAAATGCATGGATAAGAATCTCCAAGTCTGCTTTAGACACTATGTTTTTGATCCTGGCAATGTTTTTTAGATGTTAAAAAGCTGCTGATGTTACTGATTTGATGTGGCTATTAACATTTAAGTTTGAGTCCAGTATTACCCCTAGATTTCTGACCTTGTTTGAAGGTTTTAGGGAGAGAGACTGGAGGTGACAGTATAATATTTATACTGAGAGGAGATTACAAGGCCTTTTAATGCACTCAGAAAAAACTTTATGAACATGCCCTAACTTTCACCCTCTACTTTTAAAATAATAACGGAATCATGTATCATTTTACTTTCACGTCACAGTTTTCAGTAAAACATTCAAAAAAGAATATCTGTTTACGGTTGTAAACCTGACAAAATGTGCAAAAGTAAAGTTTATTAGTGCTTTTGAGAGGAACAGTTAATTAATGTCCCTGATTTGTTTAGTTTTGTTCATTATGGTAAATAATTCACTTAAATAATCGGATAAAATCACAATAAATACAAGTCAGTGTTTGATACTTTAATTTTCCTAATCGTTTTTAGTTTTGTTGAACCCATTGAAGTTTGCGTTATTCAAAATGTTGACTCTAATATTTTAACTTTTACTGCAAATGAATGCATTCATTATTGGCCTCCTTGACTACAAATTATCTGTGTTGTTATCGGTCCTGAAAAACCATTTTACTTATGAACCTAGGGCTATTTGTTTTGTTTGAGAAATAGTGACAGGTCCTTGTAATGGCGGGTGGCACGGTGGCTGAGTGGATAGCACTCTCGCCTCTCAGCAAGGAGGTCCTGGGTTCGAATCCCGGTTGGACCAGGGCCTTTCTGAGTGGAGTTTGCATGTTCTCCCCGTGTCTGCGTAGGTTTCCTCCGGGTGCTCCGGTTTCCCCTACCACTAAAAATATGTACAATAGGTCTGGCATGTGCCTCCTGTACTGGCACCCCCACTCCAAAAAATAACAATTGTAAACCGCTTTGAGACTCCGATGTGCAGTGAAAAGGCGGTATATAAATAAATAAAGATAAAGAAATAAAGATAATGAGCCCTACACTTTGTAACACTGCCTTCTGCTGGATTGAATGGCATATTACATTTAAACATACCCTTTTTAATATTGAAACACATGCTAAGTGTGTTTCAATATGGAGATTTGTTTGACAGTGCACTTGTTGACAATATATACAACGATTGGATTAGCTACTGATTTGTATAATAATAGATTATAGAAATGAAGAAGATGACATATCCAATAGACCTCCAATCAGCAGCTGCCATAGTGCCAGCAGAGATAGTCAAAACATGAAGTGGAAAAGTACAGGCTTCTGCACATTGGTAGAATGATGAGTTTAACTTTAACAAAAGTTGCTTCAAAGTGTTATGAAATCTCACAGAAAATAAATAAATAATATCCCATCCTTCTCACCACGTGTTAGGGTTCAAACTAGTATTAAAATGTTTTGTACATAATCGGACATTAGTGTAACAGACAAAAGGTGTAGCCTGAATTTTGCCTGCTAGAAAAAAAGACTAAAGAAAACTAAAATCAACAACAGAAGTAATTAAAACAAAAAGTACAGTATATAACAAAAATCAAAGGAAGGGTTTGTGGGAAGAACCCTTTAAAAACATGCTATTACAGTTTTTCTCTATTGCTACAACACAAAACCCAGTACTCTAAACCAAATGACCAATCGCCTAAACACATTTATTAATACTTCCCCCCACTTCTCACAACCATAAACACAATTCTCCTGTAAACACATGCCCTTTTTCTCAAAACTCTAAACACATTTTTCCTTTGCTAAAACACATTTTGCCTTTGCTAAAACACTTTTTGCCTTTGCTAAAACACTTTTGCCTTTGCTAAAACACTTTTTGCCTTTGCTAAAACACTTTTTGCATGTATCTCTGCTCCTATAATCATTGTGAGGCTCATGTGATGAAAAATGTCTCCCACTGTCTGCAAAACCTGAACACAATGAACAGACCTGGTGTCATTCAGAAAACACAACCATCAGAACTGAAAACTCCTGCTGCAAATGATGTGACCACAACTTTATAAGTCAGTGCAGGTTCAAAACAACAATGGATGATCAAGGCACAAGAAGAGGAGTTTGTCAGTGGAGGGAGAGGAGCAGGTCAAAGAGGGAGAGGAGCAGGTCAAAGAGGGAGAGGAGCAGGCCAAGGACGGAGAGGAGCAACATGCATTATGAATGCAAGGGAAATGTAGGTACCCCAGCTTTAATTGCTGAGTTGTAGTTTTAGGGCTACAGGAGACACAGGGACACTTCCAGAGGCTCACATAGTTCAGCTGCATTTCTCACAGCGCTGTATTTATCGCGTCCACAGGTTTTCCAAAGATCCACACTTGTCCTGTCAGCGCCGGTCACATGGGAATGAGTCCGCTGTGGCACCAGAGCATGTGGAGGGGGGGCGCCCCCACTATTTGCCCCCCCCCCCCCCCCCCCCCCCCCACACTATTTGAAAAGCACTGCCCTAAACATTGTGTTTCCAATTGTTACTGTACTGTAGTATCTATTGTGTCTAATGGATCCTCTATAGAGTTTTCCGTTACTCATGTTTGCATTGAGTTTTAATATAACTGCATTTTCTGCGTTATGTAACTATTCCCATGATACGCGCAAATCTATAGTAAAGACAAATCTATAGTAAAGGCCCAAAACATATTTGAGAATGAAAAAAGTGTTGCTCAAATGCATCCTGGCAGGTGTGAAACTGTAAAAAGAACAGTCTCACATTCTGAAAATTGTGTTTTAAATTGTTTTGGTGATGTGGTTAATGATGTCATAGTGTTCACATTTTTGCAGACCATGAGAGGTGTTTTGGTGTGATGGGTTGGTTTAGAGAATATGAGAAACTGTTTTGGTGAGATGGGTCGGTTTAGAGAATATGACAAACTGTTTTGGTGAGATGGGTCGGTTTTGAAAAGAGACTGTGTTGTTGTCTGTACGTAGCTTTAGAAAAGAGGTTTGTGTTTAGAGTTTTGAGAAAAGGGAGGGCAGTATCGTGAAAGTGTTTAAGCAATAGAGAAAAACTGTAATCTGTCGGGTCTAGTTCTAGTTCGGGAAACAGTTCGAAAGTAGTGTTGTGATGAAATGGAAGGAATACACGAGGAACTAATAAAACCACAGTGCTATAAACTTTTCTGCAGAGTCAGTGAAGAAATGTAACGATTCAACCAAAACCAAGTCAGCAGGGCGAAGTGTGTTTGACCAGCAGCACACATGGTATTGGGAGTTTGTTGAGTCTGGCCTGGGCTGTTTGTCTCCTCCCTCCTTTCTGGTTAGCTGCCTGCTTCCGTCAACTATTGCCCTTGGCCGAACCGCAAATGTGTGTCTTTACAATGGAGGGAGCACTGCGGGGGAACGTGCAGAGACAGGTAATAAATACTGAATTAAATGATGGCTCTTCTGACTCAGCGGCACTGCTTATCTTGCGTCATAAAAGTAAGTTGGTGAACACTTTTTTGTACTGTGCCGTAGTTGAAACAAGGAAGTGTTTCATTGTTTATGTTAACGCTCCATTCGTTTGATCCTCTTTGCAGGTTTTGGCTTTTCCATCTTTGAATGACATAACCTTTTGTACAATGTCTTTAATATATCTGCAGTGTGTAATCTTTGGTGAAATTATGACTTTTAGTGTTCTCTCACATTATGAGCTTAGTACTGTGCATATAGCAGAGTATTAAACTGCTTCTATTTAATTTATAATAAGACAGACTTTATCATCCCTTGATAGTTACAATTATGCATTTAATATAGCATTTTTGTATTGTTTTATGTACTCTGCAAAACATTTTGTGTGACTGACCATTGTGCTGGAGTCTAGCACAGACAAAGTGCATGCATAGGTATTACATTAACGGTTAAATATAGCATGTAAGTAGCTGTGAGCACTTTCCTTTGAGTAAAAGCAGGAACTCTGTCAACAGGTCAGTTTCCTGTCATTGTGCGTGGTTATGTTTATATTTTGTGTTGTTTGATTGGTCTATTTTCTCAGCTCTACCTTTGCTGACCAACTTTTGTCACCTGTGCTCTATGGGACAAACACATTCTTGAACAAAATAAGTTCATTTCTTTGGCTGTTAGCTGAAAGGGTGTTTAATATGCGTATTCACAAGAGGAACTTTCACAATACTGGCAGTTTTACTCATCCTCGAATTTCCCATAATTTAAGCTCAAATGTTCACCATAGCCTTTGTGGCTCGTTGACCAAAATGTGCACTTTTTTGATTATATAATTAGAATTCTAAAGTTGAACACTTAAAGCTGCACTAACTGACTTTGGGATTTTGAAGCCGGGGACTCGCTGGCCTCTCTCTTTCTGCTCCACCTCCCCACACCCACGAAGCTATCGCCCCCACACACACACCCACTGTTGTTGACGGAGCTAGTGTCTCCCAATATGGATAATACATGGATATGGATTTGCACGTGGATGGCGTGACCGTAGAACGATAGAACCGGGAAGTGCGGAGGAACCGGACTTTCTTTTGGCTGTTTCGCTGTGTAAGCAGTAACCGGTGACGAAGAGGAGAAAGTTTCAGGTTAGCTCCGCCGCTTGTTGTGCTAACTCAGTCGTCTATGCTAAAGGGGCGTTCACACCGGACTTAACTTCGGCGTCAAAAGCGTCAGGTTTCCATTGAAAGTGAATGGTGAAGCGCGTCAGGTGAAGCCGAGAGCCCCGGCGTCACTTGACGCGCGTCAAAAGCTTCAAGCACCAAAATGACAAAACTATCCCGGCGTCAGTTGAAGCGCGTCAAAAGCTTTTTGAAGCTTTTGGTCTGAACGCGCCTTAACGGACCTGTAGATTTCTCACGAAAGTGGGGGCCAGTGGTCCGTTGCTATTGGTCACAATCCGCGACCCGAAACCGAAACACATTCTCTTCCTTGTTTCATCAAAACTCGATCTAAAATATAATGTCACGCCAGCACAAATCTGCACTACTTTTTGTATATCCCAATGCACTACATGGACATGGATAGCATTTTCGTAATGAATACAAAAAAAAATTCAGTTAGTGCAGCTTTAAACACTTGCAACTAGGGCATTCCCGAATGGTGCCAGCAAACATTCCGTTCCACTTTATATAACATTGGCACAAAAGCGTCGGCCATCTGTTTGAAAGACAAGGTTTCCTCATTTATTCCAGCAGGGTTATGTTGGTCTTCAAATCAAAACCATAGCACAAAATACATGAAACACAATAAGTCATCAGGCTTTCCACACTGCTAATGCTGCCAACAGTACAACTATGAATACAAAGGACAACACGGCATCAATTAAAGCTTTGTAGCAAAAATAGTCCCCAAAGTGCTGGCAAAAACAATACTGTAGTTGGTGGCATTTCTCATTTAGTCCCACAATTATCTTTTAAAAATCTAACTACAGGCAATTATTGTTCCCGTTCACTCTACCACTTGTCCCTTGTAATGTGTATTTTTGGTGTTTTTCTGAAATGAAAGCAAATTAAGTGTACTGGGGGCCGCTCTGACTGCCACTAGGCCACTAGACAATAGGAATTTCCTACATTATGACACGTGATAACCAAGCTTCCCAATCATTAATTAAACATGCTAGATTCACTGTTTTGACTGCGCCTGTGTTGATAGTGAAAAGCAGCAATCCAGCTTTTACTGATCTGTTTGATGCTACTCACAAAACCATCTGCCAATACATTATATAAAAGAATAATAATAATAATGCATTGGTTTTATATAGTGCTTTTCTGGACACTCAAAGACGCTTTACATGTCATTATCCTCTCTCTCCAAACACAGTGGTGATAAACTACTACTGTAGCCACAGCTGCCCTGGGGCACACTGACAGAAGCGAGGCAACCAGTCTGTGCCATCGGCCCCTCCCACCACCACCAACCATTCACACACACACCAGACTCATTCTAGGCAATGGGGGTGAAGTGTCTTGCCTAAGGACACAACAGCAGTTTGGCACTTTACAGCCGCAGCCGCCCCACTGTGGCACCTGCTGTTCCCAGAGGTTAAGTGTCTTGCCCAAGGACACAACGACAGCAGACAGTGGGAGTCGATGGTGAAGATCAGGCTCGAACCCACGACCCTCTGGCTCAAAAGCCAATGCTCTACCAACTGAACTACTGTCGCCCACGATTAACATGTAGGATAACATTAAAATAGGACACTAGGAGAAGCATAATAGAAACAAATACTAAGCTATTTATTACAAAATGGGTGTTCTCAAAATTAAGCACACTGGTTAATATCAGACAGCAAATAGTTTTTATCCCATCAAGAATCTCACAATAACTATAATCAATGAAAAAAAAAGACCTTAATGGGATTTCAGTTTAACCAACAGTTCTGTTTACATAAAACCCCCAAAACAGATCATGTATGTTATGGTTGTATAAAAGCTAAAGCTAACAGTGTCATGGGGCACACTTTGTTTACATGTGATTTGACAGAGATTGCAGAGGTATGCTGGGGTTGCAGGGCTTTCAGTGTCTCAGGGAGATAGACAAGTTTAAACACGCTGCTCATAACACAGGCAGTGACCGAAGACGCAAAAATCCGGAAGAGACTGATGCTGCTGCAACTAAGACACAAAAACTTATACCAGTGGACAAGGTATAAGCTTGAAACTGGAAATAATGTTAATTTTAAGACCGCTTTCAAGGAGCCGAGGATGTATAGAATCGGCCGCCTGCTTTGGGGTTTCTCTCGATCAAATGTGAACATGGAGACTGAAGATGTTTGCCCCGATCTTTTGAGCAGCAGTGATTTAATTTCAACAACTCTTTCTGATAGTTTGCCAATCGCAATCAAATCTCCTGACGGCACGGAAAACGACCCAACGCCACAGGTTCTCCCACGAATCAAGACGTCGCACAGTCAAGAAAACATACAACAGCTAACTCTACCAACGCTACCAAGTCAACCAAGTCAGCTTGAGGAGACGCCTGCCCCATCGCCAAGGAGCCTTGCACCGCCACCTCCAAGGGAAAGCAGTAAGCGCAAAAAACACTAGACATTAGTCAATCGATGCAATTGCTTTTGGGATTCTTTTTATGATGTGATGCACAGGTTGATATTGATAAGGTTTTGTCTTCCATTATACATGCAGGACTGTCAAACATGAGATCTTTGGTAGCAACCCCGAAATTATTTCAAATTTTTACCATTAACTTTTAAAATATTGATAGATGGATACTTTATTGATCCCCGTGGGAGAAATTCAAGTATCAAGTATATGAATATAAGCTTCTATTGCATTTTCTATACATATATTTTCTAACCCAAAACGCAATTGGTAATAGTTAATATACAAATTATTACCCAAACCCACATCTTGGTTTAAAACGTGTAATCTAATAAAACAATTTTGGCTCCGACCTGTAATAATAATAGTAATAATAATTTGGCCCCTGACCAAAATTAGATTCACTTCCCTGATCAACAATTCTCAATTCTGACAGACGATGAGTGAGGTCTGAAGTTGCAGCGTGGCATAAGTAATTATCCAAATATAGAAATGATGAAGCAATGAGCCTGTGACAGTTTTTGAGTCATTAATGGGGTAAACTGATAACTACTCATAGCATTACACGCCATCATGTGTTTTTAGAGTTTTTATTGTTTGTTCATCATTTATTCATCTTCTTTCTTTACAACTTCTGCCTAGACACAGTGTCATGCTCATGCGGATTTATTTATAATTACAAAAACAATCACCAAGGTGGCCTTATTATTTGTGCCCTCAAGCTGATTATCAGAAAGCAGAATTAGCCTTGTAAGAATTGCTTTCGGCCTGTAACTTTCTATGCTACCACCAGATTTATTTTTTTTGTTTTTGAAAATGTACCATTTCCAAACACATCCATGTGATTGTAAAGATTTTTTTTTTACCTGATAAATTTCCTAAACTAGCATATTTACTTTTTTGGAAAGACAGGGGTCATTGGTGTAAAGTAACATCGGACAGAGACAGAAGCTTTTAGACAGAAGGGGCAGAGTTACACGCTTGTGCCAGAAATGACTGATATTAAAACTAAAACTACAATCTAAAGATCTTGTTAATTAGGAACAATGTTGTATTATGGTTAAAAACTCAAAGAAGTTGCTTTTGCAAATGTCTCCTTTAAGTGTCATGTTTCATTCTACTGTCTCAGGATTAGATTCTGTTGACGACGACTCAGATGCATATGAAGACCCAGATCAGCTGTACACTGGTGCCCAACAGGTGACCATAGACCTGCACAGTGAGCCAGTGGCCCTCGTTCTCACACACTCACTGTTTATATCACTGTTTGTGTTTATAGAACAGACCTCTGCAAATGGCAAAGCCACAGCGCTACAGTGCTCTGTGCAGTGATGACGAGCAGCTGGACGACGACGAGTGAGTCCCACATCCAAACACAAAGCTCAACACAAGGAAACCACATGTGTGTGCGTTACCTTCTCCGGGAAAAGGCTATATCTCATCAAGCTATTTTGACCCTGTGAAGTCTGTCTCTTATCGGTTACCTGTTTTTCTGGTTACAGTCTAGATCACAGGTGGAAGTTTTGACATTATTCTTAGGCTTGGCACGTCACTGTGCCTGTAATGAGTCTATAACTATGTTGTATATATCATATTTCAAATTGATGAGTGGGAAAATCTGCTAAAAGTACAGATGATGGGTTAGAAACCTTCCTTTGCTTTGACTTATCCCTGTACAAGCTTACACAAACATATTTCAAGTTTTCTACTTTTTAAAACTTTCACCTGTAAAAAAGTGTGTGAGACTGGTAATAATCAAGCAAAATGTTTTATACATTTTAAAGACATTTTAAAGGGTCTTCTTTTAAAATGTAATATATAAAATTTGTTAGTCTAGTCCAGCCTACTGAACAACAACAACTAACACAACACACTGCACAACAAAGTGGTGTAACACAGTCCTACTAACTGTATATGTGCCTAAACAAAGCACTTTAGTGCATTTCAGTCAAAATTAACCTAATTAACAGAACTCAGTCATCAACATCTCTTTCTTGGAGATCTATCTCTCAATAAAGTCTCCAAGCTTTATGTCTCCAACATATTTACAGTCTCTATGGGAGCTTTTTTTCTTTATTGTTGTTGTTAAATTAACCCATGCTTCAGGAACTTAGAGGTTAAGTGCCCGACTTTATATCATACAAAAGTAATATTTCCACATGTTACTGCAAATGATTCTTGTCTCTTTATAACAGTTATCATAACGGTGAGCTATAAAATGTATGTCTAGATATTTATTTATTTGTTTGGATTTTTTTCTATAAAAAACACAATTGTATATGTATTGTTCTGATGTTATAATGTAAATACATCAATGTGTTTTATTTTTGTTCAAATGGGGCAGAGCGTTAGAAAATCTTGTACAGAATCATTTTGTATCATTTTAAAAATATTGAATCAAATTGAAAGTCCCCTGTGTCTAGATATGTACTGTGTCATCTGTCAACAACTCATAATAATTATCTCATCGGCCATGTAAATCCTAACTTTTTTCTACCATAGAAAATGTAATGAATTGTGTTATTTGCTGTTTGTGTCCAAGTTCCTCATTGTGGTCCAGCAACAGTCCACAAGGCAGTATCTACCTTTCCCCAAACAGAGAAGAGAGAAGAAGAGGCTCCTCTTGGGACGACAGCACTCAGGAAACAGCCATTCTTAAGAGCGGCTGGCTGGACAAGAATCCACCACAAGGGTAAATGTATATAAAACTCTTGTAATCCAGTCTAATCTGAATCTCTGTCTCATAGTTGTGCTTTTCACACACAGAGTACTTTATTACCAGAGACGATGGGTAAAGCTCGATGCGGATTACCTGAGATACTTTGACAATGAAAAGGTAATAAAACCTCTTTGTTGTTGTGTATTTCAAAGTGAAATGGTGAGAGAAGACGACATCTCAATAAATCCTTTTGTTCTTCTTAAGGCTGTATATTCTAAAGGGTTCATTTCAACAGCATTCATCACCAATGTGTCGAGTGTGGGAGAGCTGAAGTTTGAAGTGGTGACAAACAATAGAACGTTTATCTTCAGGGCCGAAAGCGAAGGCAAGTTTGTTCAAATGGGCTTTTGGTCGATAGTCTGTGAACACTTCATGATGAGTTTAAATCTTCTATTAGCTGAGAGAGATGAGTGGGTGGCCATGTTGAAAGCCTGCACTGGAGGGCCCCAGTACCGCAACACTATTAGCCCCGGTTCTCCCTTGGCTCCAGACTTCTATGGCTATTTGGTGCTAAGAGGAATACGTTCCAGACTTTACACTGCGGTGGCGATGGATAAGGTCTTTCTGTACAAGAATATGGATGTAAGGACCAGTTTTGCCACGTTTACTTTACATGACTTTCTCCAAGTAATCTGTGTGTCCGATTTCAGGACTACCGCATCGGTGTGGGCATCACCTCCATTGACATGAATGTTGGCAACGTAAAAGAAACCGATCAGCGCACATTTGACCTCACTACTCCTTATCGTACTTTCAGGTAATAAATGCACGTACACAAGCACATGCATTACCCACAGGAGCACGATGGACCACATTCTCTACAGCTTTGTCATTAGGATTCTTTTTTTTTATTATAGATACAATATCAAATTTTAGGAAAATGAACATATAAACAGTTTATAGTTTTTTACTCTAATAAAGGCTAATTGTCATTTAATTTTCCATAAAAATTTATATATATATATATATAAAGAAAAAATATATAAAAAAATCGAATAGCATTAGATACAGAGCCTTTTATTTTTTGCTGTTTATTTTTATAAAACTATTGAATCAAATTTAAATTCCCCAGTATTTAGATCGTATCGGCAGACTCTGAAAGATGCCAGCCCTATGTAGGCTATCCATCCATCCATCCATCCATTTTCTACCCTTTAATCCATTTCTGGGTCAGGGGGGTGGCAGTCAGAGATGCCACCCAAGTCTCATAGCACCAGCCCCTCACTGACCCTCTGCAGGTGGTGAGTCCACAGGAGGACGGCTGCTCTCTGAGTGTGAGCATAGCCTTGATCTTTCAGTGGGGGCTTCAGGCAAAGTGGGGTGAAGAAGGTGTAGATTTCTTTAGCTTTGTGTTTATAAAAAAATTGTAAAGCAAATGTGTTTTTTTACAGCTTCATTGCGGAGTCGGAGCAGCTGAAGGACCAGTGGGTGGAGGCCATGCATAATTCTATAGATGAAGCTTTGTCCAACAGTGAGGTGGCAGAGCGGATCTGGGAAGAGGCCTCGAACAGCCTCTGTGCGGACTGTGGAGCCCCCAAACCTGTGTGGGCAGCTATCAATCTGTGTGTGGTGGTCTGTCAACACTGTGCAGGTCAGTGTCACCGCTCTTTTTGTTTCTTTCCTCCACTTCTGCGTTGATTTGAAGGCTTTCTCACTTTGAGTTTCCCTGTTTATGAATTGTGCTATACAAACTCGCCTCGCCTTGCCATTGATTCAGGAGAGCACCGTCGATTGGGTCCAAGTATTTCTAAAGTGCGAAGTCTGAAGATGGACAGGAAGGTGTGGACAGAAGAACTAATTCAGGTTGGATTATTTGTAAAGAATCTGAAACTTCCAACTTCCTGTATTTAATATTTTACAGTTTTTTATACTCTTTTTGCAGGTTTTTCTTTTAATGGGCAATGATCGGGTCAACAGTTTCTGGGCAGCGAATGTTCCTCCAAGTGAAGCTTTGAGACAGTCCAGCTGCCCCGAAGCTCGGCGACAGTACATCACCAACAAATATCGGCAGGGAAAATACAGAAAGTACCACCAGCTGTTTGGAAACCAGAAAGAGCTGAACAATGTGAGTAAATCCTGACGTAAAGCCTTATGCAACGACAAACAAATTCACTCTACTGTTAACTGTGGCCGGAACAATGGCAAGAGTTAGTGGTAAACTATAGGAATAAATGGAATAGATGAGGAAGTAGATTTTTGTTTTACATTTATTATGACTTGCTCTCAGCCAGATTCCAATTACACTTCTTTTTATTCATAAGATTGATATATTTTATATTGACTTAAGGAGAGGCCATCTGAATAAGACAGAAGTCATCCTTTAGGGCAGTAACTGTTGGAAATAGTCTTTGTTTTAAGCATTGAGTTCCACAAAACGGCACAAAACGACACTTTTGTCATGATTGGACTTTCAATAACAATATCAATCCAATTATTACCCCCCTGTACATTCCCTGTGACACTGGTCATTAGTTTACACACCAGTTCATTTGATTAAACATCTCAAAAACATGACAAGAATTTAAACTCAAATGAAATATTCTCAATCAAGAGGCTTCACTTTGGAGAGAAAGAATAAGTCGTCATGGGACACGTTTGTGCACAGAAAAGGGGGACGGACTTTGAGCAGGTCTCTAAAGGCAACATTGGCATTACAGACACTGGAGAAAGTGAGGAGGCATATTTGTCTTTGGTGCTAATCTTAAGTCAAGCTTTGAGGGAACACCAACAGTGGCCCTGTAGAGCTTTTTCAGAACCTGCTGGGTCACTCATTAGTAGCTTAACCTAGTTAAACTCTGACAATGAGGACTGCTTATAAACGCATGGCGGCGTGTGAATCACATTTAACACTTCATTACCTGCTCCTTTCTTTCTTAATTCCTACCATTCTTGTGTTTGATCCTTTCACTGGAAGACCCACAGTTATATCGTAATATTATTTGTATGAAACAGTGTGCAATCATTTCAAACCCAACTTTCCAGATTGAATAACACTTGGCAAGCTCTTTTATCTTGGGTGTGTCTGTAGAATGCAGTGTGATTTCTCTGACTTCTTACACACTAAATTACCTCAGATGGCCTCTGAGTGGCAGTGAACACTAGTCGTACATTTGGTCAGTATACAATGCTCTTCTCAGTTGGCACAGTCTTTTATTTCCTCCTCTTATCATCTTTTTCTCTTTTTGTTTATGCATTTTTTCTGGTTGTGACATCACTACTCACAGTGAGCTGGAATGTGCTTGACTCCACCTCCGCTCTCCTCCTTCTCTCTCTCCGCTGTCCTTCTCATTGTTTGGCTGCCACTCTGAAAGAGAACTGATCTCTCCACATTCTATCTCTGGCAAAAACGCAAGAATGAAAACAATCTATTCATTGATCATGTTTTAATTTTGCATCTGCGAATGTCAGTTTGACGATCAGACCATCTGAAACCAGGAGTAGATTTGATCCAATGGAAATCTACAGGTGAGTGCAGTTCTACTATCAGGAAATGGAAGTAGTTTGACAACTTCTTGGTGAAATATTTAGCTCAAAGTTTGGGTTTTAGAACAAGCCTTTAGAGTAACCTGCGATGGAATGTGTGTCAGTAGACGTTGGTTGAGCAGGCTGCAGCTATTTGTTACAATGGCTGTTGTGTTGTAACATAAAGCTTTTGTGTGTATTTCACTTGCAAGTGGGCTGTATCAGATGAATATTGAACTAAAGTATTGTGGGGGACAGTTAGTGGCCATTTGCATTTTAGCAATTACTGTGTGTGTCCATGCGTGCAGGGTTCGAGGGTCACCAGACTCAATGGACATTATTGTTGTTTTTAAGTCTCCTCCTTTTCTGCCACCTTCACTAGTCCCCACTCAAACTCTCATTCAAGTTCTGTGATTGTACTATAGTGTAAAGTTTTGAAAGTTTATTTTAGTGAAGAGGGAGTGTAGAATTAAATGGAAATAAAGTCAGAACTGAGTCACTCACAAAGAAACTATTTCATGTTAATAGAATCATTATTCCAGTAACATCAAGTCATTCTGAAATCTATTATTGTGTTTGTTTTTGTAAAAAAATTTAAACGCACCTTTAATTATGTTGATTTAAACGTGTTCCCATTGCCCAACTTTCTTGCAAAACTTTTACAAATAATTGAAAGCCGATTTTTTTGGTGGGGATTTTTGCTCCCTTCATAGTCCACCATATGTGCAGTTTCAGCCCCTGCTCTCTAAACTGGGGGTGAGGTAATGATGGAACAACCTTTTCGTCATCTGGATCTAATATGTGGGACTTGTGTGCACATAAACGTGGGTGGGTCTTCGCTCTGTGTTTAAATGTCCTAAGTGCAGCAGCTCTGTTTGGACGTTTCCTCTGCATAATCAAACCCCGATAATTGTAACGGCTTTCATCTTCTTTTCTCAATATTTTCCTTTCTCCTGTTTGTCTTTCCTCTCTCCCTTTCCTGTCCTATTGGGTTGCAGATGCCAGATGGAGGCCTTGGATTCTTGTTTTTTTTTTTTTTTTGACACACCCCGATAAAATCTTTCTCTTGCTCTCAAGGGAAGAGGGTTGAGATTCTTGAATCCCCCTTCGTTCACATATATAAGCACATATATCTTTACTGCTCCTCTCACTGACTGCCAGTACATTGGTTCTTCAAACATTACTTCCTACTTCCTTTTTTCTGTTTGTTCTGATTGGTCCAATGCTCTTTTATCTGTGGACCTTGATATGAACAGAGTCCTTCCATTTGTACATTGTGCTGTTGGTTCATTTACTTGCGGCATAAAGAATGAGACTCTTGTGGGACTATAGGGGCAGCATGATGGCGCAGTGGTTAGCACTTCTAAAACCTGTAGATCTGGCCTTCTGTGTTGAGTCTGCATGTTCTGCGTAGGTTATAAATAAAATAAAAATGATGTATATTGATAAAGTGTTTATTATATATTGGCCAATAGTCTCATACTCTATAATAACTAGGCAAGGCGATTATATATTATCCATCCATCCATTTTCTACCATTTAATCCATTTCTGGGTCAGGGGGGGTGACCATAGATGCCACCCAGTACACATAGCACTAGCTAGCGATTAGATATTAGTTTTATCCAAACTAATAATGCATTGACTTTTGTACCATTGAATGTAGCTGATATAATATTCATTATAATTAATTTGTATTTATTTGTATGGATTATTTGGTCTGGATAGTGCAGATATGAGCTATTTTCCATCCGTTGTCGCACTCACAAACTCGCACTCATTCAGTCTGAACCGTTGTACCTGTTTTTAGTGGTAGGGGAAACCGGAGCACCCGGAGGAAACCCGACACAAACACAGGGAGAGCATGGATTTCCATAAATACAGTTACTCGTAGTTACTGAACCCCTACGTAAAACTGTAAACACATAATTTGTTGGATTGTTACATGATTTTACAATACTTCAATATATTTCTTTTATGGTTCGTGAATCCTCGTGCTTTGGAAAGAGAGAGGGAGTGTCTTTGAATGACTTGTGAAATAGTAAATCTGTTAATTTGTTTGTTTGTGTGTACGCATGAGTGTGTGTTGAGGCTCAGTAGTGATTAAACAAAGGAGGGGCGGTCTATATGTGCGACATGGGGCTGTGGAATTTCCCAATCAGATCCAAAGAGCTTATTGGTCTGAACAAAGTGGCGAGTCTGAGAGCGGAGCCGTGTGTGGTTTCTGTGGCTAAGTCCAGATCTTCAGCTGTAAAAACACTGCATCCTCCTTTTCCCATCACAACATATTTCCACTCCGCCTGGGCCAGCTTCCTTCTTCTTTTAATAACGTGACTAAAGTCCAAGTTATGGACAGTATATTTCTATGCTTCTGTTGAGATTGATATCCAATATTTGCCAACTTAGTTTTAACCCACTCAATTCTTGTATATTATAGATCTTGTAATTGATTTTTGTAAAAATGCTGTCTGTTAGAAAGTCACATCTAATAGTGGAGAAATATATATGGGTGGTTTAGTGCTGGGTTATATGTTTTTGATTAGAAACTACTATTTATAGTTGTATGTAAAAATATGCATGTTTTGTCTGTATATGCTCCTGTTTGTCACCTGGATTTCCCCTTTGGGATAAATCTATACATTTAACTTTTTATGTGCATTGTAACTTCCAACTATACACATAAGGAGCTCAAGTACTTTTATAGCATAGCATAGTATTGTTGTCTTAAAATTGAAACTGGTGCTGTCACATACAATACTTTTATTCTACTCTTATTTATTGTACATCTGGTTAATAACTTAATTTCTCTCCATATCGTCATTAGAATTCTTCTCTGTTCCAAAACAAGCCCTTCCAAATGTCCCACAGTGCCTCTATTGAAATGGAAAAGCAGAATCACTTGAGTTTGTCCTCAGCTCTCGCTCACATACAAAAAGCTGACAGAGCGTCACATGACTCTATGGTCCGGTCAGCAAGACACAAGTCACCAGAATGCATTCATCATTGTGTTCGCTGTCCCTGTCCTCTGCCCTTATCTTTTTGACTAATCTGTTATGACTTCATATGGACAAAAACAATTATAGAAAAGATAGTAGTTAGAGCACACAAGGAGCACACAACATACAGAGATGAGTGGCTGAATACTTCTTGAATAGCTGTGAATACTTCATAATATGAGCAAAAAGTATATATCTATACGTAGTGTAACTTGCCACACGATGGCAGAATAAATAAAGTAAATAAGGATTCAGAAATTGCAGTTTAGATAGATACAATAATAAGTCATATTTCCTAATGTGTATTGAAATAACAAGAAACGATTACATCTGTTTTTAGTTTGGTCGTTAGTTTCTCTCCTAAAAAAGGATCACCAGCATACTTTAACTCTTGTGCTATCACTGAGGTGTCAACTTGACCCACCACAGTGATTCAAAAATACCCTAAATAAAGTGTTTTTCAAGCTGAATCTTTATAGTTGTCCCAAACTTGATCAGCCGTGGGTCATTACGACTGTTAGACACTAATTTAAGGTATTTTTCTTCCACTGTTAAATCACTCTGTCACAAGGCTGAGTATCACAATAGCAATTTTACACGGACACCAACATATCCCCTGACTGATTAATTACCTTGAAATTTGAAGGAGGCTCCTGATCTATTGTGTAAACATTTGCTTCTGGGGCAACACATGTAGGCTTGCTTTCGTATATGTTGTATATGCTCTGTTTTTGTTAAGAGGGGCATAATATGTATGTTGGTGTGGAAGTAAATCACAATACAAACTATGTAAGTTCAAAGTCCTGATTTCTCTCCATGGCGTGTGTCCAGGCGCTGTGTATAAACGTGCAGGGGAGTGATGTATTGGAAACGTTGCGGCTGATCTTCTGTGGGGCAGATGTCAACTGTTCGACTGGAATGCCCGAAAGTCCTTCTCCTCTGACGCTGGCTCAAGCATCTTCTCAGCCTCTTCAAGCAGAGTTACTGAGCCACAATCTTAACACAGGTGACTTCATGAGGATTTGACTGATTCTGTCTTTGTCTGAGCCGCGTCCCTCCTGAACCTTTTGATGATTGTGATGTTGTTTCTACAGAGTTGCCCCAATCTGAAGTGGGAGACATCACAGACACGATGCCGTACTCTGCCCCTTCCAGCGTCTGCCTAAATGGATTTCTGTTTAAGACCGCTTCAATGAAAGGGGCAATAACAGATCGCAAAGCAAAAGAAGGTTTGTTCCAAAAAATTAAACACTGAAACTAAATGTTGCAAGCTTAAAGGGGCAGTATGTCATATTTGATTTTATTAATTTATATATGTGTCCTCAAAGAACAGGTGTACAAATCATATTCAACCTTTAACTAAAGGCACATGATCATATAAGATTTACGGCATGTTTGCCATTTCTAAGCAAATTGTCTCTCAATGGCATTGCCTGTTTATTTGGTGATCTTTTTTTTTTTTCAAAAGAAGTTCACAAACAAAATAATAATATCACACTTTTTTTGTGTGCATTTGTATCATATGTAACAGAATTATTGTGACATTTCTAGTTAAACCCCACGAGGTGGGTTGCTTCAGAGCATATTACATACCGTCCCTTTAATCACAGCTCTTTACGGTATACGTACTTAAGACTTTAGGTACAACAGCAGGCTTTAAATGAGATGTATGAATGTATGATTGTTGTATTTTCATCAGAAGTTTAGTCGCTTCGCTGAGTAGCACATAGTGAAGACGGATCCATTAGCATCTAGAAAGTTGTCTAGCACTAACCCAACCCCACATGGATCGCTATCAGTCACACGACAAAGTATTGTTTTTCAGTATGGAGCTCACAACCCATGGGTCCAATTCCCACAAACCCACAATCACAACCCCAAAAACAATCCTATATCTCACACAATTATCCTAAAATCTCAATAGAGCAATCCTTAATAGTACCCTGCAAGTAATTAGCCCCTCCTCAACCCGCGCGCGTATATCATTTGTGTAACACAGTCACTCGCTCTCTTCCTTACACGATAATTCACCTCACGTCTGGCTCATCCACCCTGAAATGCACAGGTCCCAGTACCAGTTAGGCAAACCGGCCGATCCCGCCATCCACCTAAGGCAATCTGTTCTAGCCCCAAGTCCATCGCTTAGGTTGTATACCCTTAGAAACATCTTCGAATGAAAACCGCTTGTGGCGGATTCAAAATACCTTAATTTTTAGTTTATATCACTGTAACAGATGCTGTTCCACAAAACGGTCTTCCATGCATTTTACACTCTTTTTAACATCTGGGTTTCTCTGAGTGATTCCGGTGGCCTCACTCATTTTGTCATTTTTGAATCCAGCCCTCTTGAGACTTCCGAACATACCAACACCTCTATCACATTGGGCCCTTCTCCATCACAAGGTTTTAGTGCTTCTATAACATCCAGCTGCATCACAACCATACTAAGAGTGTCAACCCCTAAACTAATCTAGCGGGTCCCATAAAGAAATGGAGAACCACAATGACTCCCGCGCTCCCTTCATCTTATAACCAGACATTTTCTGTCTTTCCGTCACGGACCGTTAACATCAATGTCACACTTTACCACCCCAACATCAGCAATTCCCTGTTTGATTTAATACTCCAAGCTACCATACACCCACCCCTAACGCGTCCGTATCGTAAGCTAACGTCCCAAACATCACCATCCCCATATACGAGTTCTATCTATTTCATACATAACCTTACATCCACACCTCCCACATCGTAATTTAATTATACGCTCGCTCTTAAACCAGTACTGTTTATTAACATAACCGTGTGCTAAACCTTGTTTGACCCCATAATGGAAGCAGTAGCATTAACCTCTCCATTCAACGCTCCCTCTCTATGCATCAGAGCTTATTTATAAGTTTACCTCCACCTTTTGCTTATTCTTAACAGGTATATTAAATTCAATTTGCCCGTACCTCCCAAAACTGGCTTTCATAAATCTTAGTCCTTCACCCTCAGTCACGATACAACAGGCCCCGTTCCGCTCATTATGTGCTCACCACACATCTCCACCTACCTGGCGAAACACCTAGTAATCTTCGACACACCCCACTCAACATTCCAATATTCATGCATCTCCCACAGATCAACCGTACAAACTAAACTCTCAGCGACCCACATCTATCCTTTCACGTTCTTAGTCATTGCATGAAGGTCAGTTAAGGACTTCCAATCTGTAGAGTCTAGCAGTAGTCCGTTATAAATATTACAACAATGCATGACACTACGTGAATCAATATTACACTATTCCACCCTTGTTACCACCTTACCCAAAAAATAATCCTAATACAAAGTACAACCAATATATATAATTAAATTAGATTAGTGGAGACCATTTTTACCCATAAGTATACCCAATCCTTTACTATTTTACAACCAACGTCTTCAATAGCACTCTAAATCGCCACTACCATCCTTATGACCCACTGCCCCCGTGATTAACACCACCCCTCACCGGGCCATAGAATAAATCAAAATTCAAACTTAAAATAAATGAAACTATAAAACAGACAACAGAAATCATATCTACTTGAAATGTTTTCAAGTAGATAAACAAATCCTCCTGCTACAATTAAATCTAAGGATCCCAGGTTACATGACTATTTTTGACTGACTTTTTGACCTGTAGAAAAGTGAATTAGTTTCGAATCCAACTGAAGACACACTTGGCTTTCATTTGACATGTACTAATGCGCCTGGACATATGTGAATCACAATCATGAATTTATCCTAGTTTCTCTCAATAGTGGTGTTTACACTTTTAAAAAATTCCCATGTTGATTTGCTTTTATGGCACTTCCCCAAGACGCCATCACCACACAGCGGTTACATTGCAGTAGGTTATGTGGAGGCATTTTGGCACGTATAAAATGTGTTCTTTAATAATAGTCATAATGATAATCCTACATTTTATTTATAGTGCACCTTACATTTCTAAATAAATGCATTTATAGTGCATTTATAAATCTCAAAGTGATACAGATTTTTTAAAACCCCACAAACAACACACACAAAAAAAAAATCAGAAGTGCATAAAAACGTCAAAAAGACTTACACTTAGTCTATAATATTATTATAAGAGGGGGAAATTCTAAAAAAGTAATTGAAACGTATGATCTTGAGAGAACTGAACTCTTGAATGCAGACGACCACAAATTACTCAAACCTTTATGAATGACTCTACAACAGCTTTGAGTGGGTAAACGATAACAATTATACTATGGTTCAACTGACGTCACACACACCAACTGACACACACACCCAACTGACACACACACACCAACTGACACACACACCAACTGACACACACACACCAACTGACGTCACACACACCAACTGACGTCACACACACCAACTGACATCACACACACCAACTGACGTCACACACACCAACTGACGTCACACACACCAACTGACGTCACACACACCAACTGACGTCACACACACCAACTGACGGCACACACACCAACTGACGTCAAACACACAAACTGACGTCACACACACCAACCGACGTCGCACACAACAACTGACGTCACACACACACCAACTGACGTCACACAGAATTACAGAGCCAATGAGAGGCCAGGACCAAATTCAAATGTAGTACCACCGAAAAGATTGAGAGGGCGCCACACAGACGTTTTGAGGCTCAAACGTGAGATTTTATCTAATTTGCACTAAAATGTCAAAACAAATGAGCAGGATATGTAGAGCACTACAATAAACATATTTATGCAGTTTATGAGTTAAAAAAAGTTAATTTGGTGTTTAGTCGCTCTTTAATTTCACTATCCTGCTTTACTGTGACACTTACTGTTAAAAGTTGTACAAAGCACTGCACAAGGAAATGAAAAAAACCTTATTAGCTTGTTATGACTGGCCCTCTTGTCTTCGGTGACGCGAAATTAACACAAATGGATCTATAATGGCAATCCCATTTCCTCCTCGATGTGGGTAAACAATTAAGCATCTGCTCCTGACTGGAAAAGTTCACAAAGAGGCACTCACCACTGCTGTTTTTCGTGCTTCTCCTTTTTACTTTCACAAACTAGTGTGAGCCCCCAGCTGAAACACACACACACAGAGAAAAGATCATTCCACAAAACCCCCAGGACATGGGCTCAATCGAACGGCACATTTTTGATCCAAGGGCGCCCTCTGGTGGACACAATCATAGTACAAATAAATGCTAAATGTTTGAAAATGTTTTTTGAAGCCAGGATATCAAACTTAAACATGTTTTCTTAAATTATGTAATCAAATCAATCCAACTCGTTCCTCAAAATAGTTTAGTTCTATCAATTGTTTTAACGTTCGCGTATGTTATCAGCCCAAAGCGTCAAATAGTGACTCACAGGGCTCATTCTTCCAAGTCTGCATTTTCTTATCTAATTAGAGAGAAATACCTTTTTTACTTTTAGATGGCTTCTATTGGGACAAACAGCATTATTCATGGGGGAGATGAAAGGTGCTGCAGTATATTGGCATAATTGGTACAGCAGTCAATGTACGAGTAAATAATCTAAATAATTGTTAATCTTCAGAGCGAAAGTAAAAAATAAAAAACGCCCACAAAAATCCGGTTTATAATATGTATGCCATGGTAAAGTATTAAGGACATTCAATAATCGGATGTAATATTAAATTATCTCCAACAAACACTAGTATTATCAATGTATATATGTATGCGAAGGCTTTTGTTACTCTCAGACACAATGGGAAAAGTGCAATAAACAACTGTAACTAAAGTAGGAATAAAAATGAATTGTCTGAAAAACTGCACTTTTACTTGAGTAACTTGTAAGTAAAAGTAACTGAGCAACCGCAGTAGAATTTCAGAGGACCGCGAGCTGCTTACCAAGTGGCGGGCCGCAGTCTCTTCTTAATGCCCAGGTAGACGGTGAGGTTTTTGACGGCCCACTCTTGGTCCGGTCGATTACTCTGTCAGAAAACAGTCAGTGTTAGCGACATAAGCAACAGCACCTCTGACCCAGCGTGGACCCAGCTCTCACCGTCACTTCCTTGTACATCCTCAAAGAGTTGGCAGCGAGTGTGAAATACTTCTCGTGAAACCCTGACGAGAACAGGCCGAGTCCTGGAATGTTTTTCCCGTCCCTGAACTTCATCTTGCCGTGTTTAGAGGAATCTGGTCTCCCGGCTATAGATAAGAGTAAAATATTCTTAAAATCTTGAATGCGAAACATATTCTGGTGTTGTACTTTGAGCTTGTGTATATGTGTGTGTGTGTTGTGTGGTGTGTGCGTGTGTCTGTGAGTGTTGTGTGGTGTGTGTGTTTACCCAGATAGGAAATCATCGTCTCCATGGCGACGTTTTTCTTGATGAGTAGTTTGGAGTCGGTACCAAAAGAGTGAAGAATGGGCAAGACACGCTCGCTATAGTGTAGAGGACGTTCTGTCAAAACAACAACACAAACGTTACATTGCGAGAAATGTTGGTTGTGCAAGTACAGCTCTACAAACATTCAAGAACGCATGCTTCCTGGTGTGTACGGTGAGAGATGTACGGACTCATCAAACCTTATCATAAACTCACAAAACATTCCGCTCAAATCTGTACAGCTCATCGTTTCATGAGTGACGGGAATGTGCCGTATCAGAGGTTGGGTTACTCCAGCCTTCCCCCGCGGAGGAACCAGATGGCCCACATGTCTGGCTCAGGATTGTGCTTTTGTGAGTCAGGGTATGTACAGTACAGTTAGTAACGCTGATTTCTGTGGTAGTTAAACTTGGCGACTACTACGATCATTATTTAATATGCTGTTGATAAATTAATGTATTGTTTTATTTTTATTATTTTGTAATATGTTCCAAGGGAGATTAGCAACCACATTGGCGGAAGCTAAAGGGGATCCCCAATAAACAATAAACAATATTTGGCAATATTGGTTAATGTATAATTAATATGCAATATTTAAATGTTTTCCTTTAGAGGTTATCAGATTATAGGTCATAGGTACAAACCATATTATGTGGTTTGAACAAGAGTAATTCTTAATCCAAAATGGGCATAATATTTATGGTCACCGTTTTCAAGCAAATTATCCAATCAGAGAACAGAATGAGGCTCTCATTTGGGGTTTCCAGTTTGTTGCCTTGTTTTAGCAATGACTTTTTTCATTTTAATTATTTCACACACAAAAAGAACTGCACTTGGTTTTGAATGAGACAAAATAATTAACACGGAATTTGTACAGTTTCTAGCTAAACACAGCGCCGCAAATGGCGAAGTGGCACGCTCTGCCAAAACAATTTCCAAGTGATAACTTTGTTACTCACGTGGCAATAAAAATGATTCTGATTCTGATAAAGGTTAAATGCAGTCATTTATGCTGAGGAGTTTCCCCTGTCACAGAGAGGAAGATTCTGGCAACAAGAGAACAATGTGATTGTAATTGTAATGACTTTGAAGTGGTTACATTCTGTCCCTTCAAGATTTTTATTCAATACATTTTATTTTCCATAAAAAATAAGATTAAATTAGATTTAGTCTTTATGGTATATTAAAAGGCTTGGTAATGTGAGACAGGCTTCTACGCTGACAATACTCAAAACCAGGTTAACACTGTTCTGTTTAGCTGTGTTTACACTGAAGGATTATTATCTTTGCTCTTTTTAATGTACTGTCAATATCTACGTTTTATCCTTGTATGATTTTGAATGTCCTTGTATGACTATAATGTTTCCTTGTTTGCTCTTAAGAGTTGCCTTGAGTATGAACTGTGCTCTACAAATAAACGTTCCTAATAAAATCCACTCTTGGCCCTGATCTAAAGTGTAATCAACAGTTTCTTCCTGGTCAATACTTGCATGAACATTTCCAATTGCCAGATATTGATGTTTTTTATGCATCTAATCAATAATCACTAGTCGGTCTCACCCATTTCCTCTTTCTCATTGATTTCCCAGCAGCTCCAATAGTCCTTGTCCTTTGCTGGGATTTTGCGTATATCTAAAACTTCCCACGTCAATTCAGCTGCTGTCATTGAGCCGGGAATCTGACAAAACAATAACATTACATTATGAAGACGCACATTATTGAATCCGATCCCTTTGTCTCGTGGTGCCGAGTAAACGCTGGAAAAGTACCTTAACGTGATGTTCTGTGAGACAACGTTCTTCAAGATAAACAGTACAGATGATGTGTCCTCCTTGAGTGTTGCCCTGATGCAAACAAAGGCAAGGCCAATTTAATTATTTAGCACCGTTCATACAGAAGCAGCCCAGAGTGCTTAACAGGCACGTACTGAACATTGGGAAGTTATAAAAACATTTTGAGGAATAAAAACAGTCAGAGAAGGAAAAATTATATATATATTTTTTGTCAGTGCAGACTTTTCTTTATGCTAATTCTACTTACTGTCGACTTGTTATTGAGCGTTTCCCGCAGACGAATAATCACCTCGATTTCCTTAAGCTGTTTGTCGATCTGTGTCGGATTCACCTGTAAATATATGAGCACGCACTACTGTCATGAGACATAATGATACTGTAAAATATCAAAGTTTGACTGGCCAATGTCCGATTCAAATAAAACATTTCAAATAACTGATTAAATTAAAAAAGTAAACATGACTAGACTAAAATAATACTAGCATGCTAGTTAGCAAGAGATTTACAAGGGTATTTCCTAACACCTAAATATTGATAGGAAAGAAGCATATCCAGAATTGTATTTGTGAAAGTTTTGCATTTCAGTTTTCTCTTTTTGTGTATTTACATTTTCACAGGTATTTTGAACAAACAGGTTTAGATGTTTTTAACAAAATGAATTGTTACACTTGAATTGAAACAGAACTAGACCAAAAGGTAAAGTTAGCTTCGACTGATTTACAGATGACATCACAAAAATAGTTAAAGTTTATTTTAGAGTTATTTAATTAAAGTACCATGTTCCTAATGTTTACAAGCAGTCTCTCATTTGGATTGTAGGAACAAAAATAAGTAGTCACACACAATACATAGAGTTTGTGCAGTTTCTAAACCCCAGATGGTGGATTGCATCAGCAGTCCGTTCCAGAGAGATTATGCGATTGTAATTTTAATGACTTTATTTGTCCACTAAGAGGTAATTTTACATACGGGCCCTTTACAGCATTGATTTATTGATTTATTCAGATATCGGCCCATCTCTCGTTACTATTACAAGATGTGATGTAGATTCCCAACAAAAGAGTTTTAAATCACCATCTCTGACTCTAACCTCAAAGATGACTGTGTAGTGTTCAATCAGGTCCTCTACTACTTGTCCTGCAGTGTAGTCTTTCCCGTCCGTCTGGAAAAGTGTGGGGCCAAAAACGATGGCCAAGTTATGGATATTCATCTGGTTATTGAGAGCATGACATTGAACACTGTGGACAGAATACACAGCTTGTTTGTTTGTGCAAACAGTGGAATGCGATGCCAGAAATGTGCGCATGCTCTTACCAGTACAAGTGGTTTATGAGCGCCTCCAGAGTGGCCTTGTTGACCCGCGGGAGTCGGGCTAGTAACAGCTGATACTGAGAGATTTTGGCATCTTTGTCCTGGATGGCTGAATGAGGATAAAATGAACTTAAAGGGAGGGTTTTACAAAAAGACTTTTAAGCAAACTTCAAAACGAAAATAAAATAAATAGACAAGAAAACTATGGACAGGTGTTGCAAATTAGCAGTTTTGCTATAACACTGGAAACAATGTATCTGGTTTGTCCAATGCAGTTGATATGTCCATATCAAATAAACTAATAATAAATAAAAAAAACATAGAAATAGAAAGTTAAATACATCATTGAGTGTTGTATGTATGGATTTGTGTTAATGGAATGCACTCACAGGATGCCTGGAGCCAGCTCTTGCTCTCCTCTTGGGTGAACAGACCTTCTTCTAACTCCCTGAAGAATCTTTTGAGCGCATTGGAGACGTCGTCCACCACGTTGTCTTCTTCCCGCAGACAAATGCTCCGTGCGTTGGATCGGAATTTAAATAAAAGTGCTGATACTCGAGAGTTGACGCCGCTCTTTCGATAGATGCCCTCGGACGTCAGACCTGGAGTTATCACAGATATAATGCGTTTTAATTCATCTCGTTACAATTTAAGCAGCACATTCTAACCTCTGCCTTAAAACATATGTATAAAGTTTAGTGTTGGGAAAGTTAGACTAAAAGCGATCCCAATTAATACTGATTTTATTATGTTGCACTACTTTGAGTTACTTGGAGTTATTTTGGATAATTATTGGTAGAGAACAACACCGTGACACCGTTTTTATTTCAAATACTTCTGCTGAAAGAAAGTCAACAGTCTACTCATCAGATATTTTCCTCAAATGAAAAGCAAAAGATGAGAAAACAAACAGATGTTCGCGGACATTAATTATGCATGTATCTTGAATTACTATTGTAATTGTCATATTCTTGGGTTTCATATGACGTAGATATAGTAGAAGAAGAAGCTCTGTCAAAACGCCATCTTTCTGTGCGGTGTACGCTTGTAGCAACCGCACAAATAGAGAGAAAGACAAGAGTCTGTTCATGTTCCAACTGTGGGCTCATATAAAGGAGGACACTGCTAAAAAAATCACTGGAATGAGGCGGGCGAGGTGGATCAAGGCTTTCCCAGATAAGCGCCCCCTGCAGGCCACCCCAATGAACACAGCAATTTCTTCTGTTTTTTTTTTTAAATGCCCAAAATCAAGATTCTTTTGAGAAATATTTGTTAGTACTCCCTTAGAATTGAGTGTCCCGATTAAGACTGTTACAACAACCGTACACCGCACAGGAGGAGAACCTTTTGACTCCAAAACTGACAAGATTTAAATGGTTTTCAACGGGAGCAAAACTGAGTTGTCCCACATCTGCTCATTCGCCCCCTACTGGCCAGTTTAATAACACAAGAACAACACACTTTTTTCAAAAACGATATATTACTCACTAGATGTTACTCCCAACATTGATCAAATGCTCTAGGGTAGCATGTAAGCAAGTAAGTTAGTAAGTAATCTTTATTTATACATCTCTTTTTCACAAACACAGAATATCCATCACCAATGAAAGGCTTTGACTGTATTTTTACCGTTCTCCCACCGTAGATCTAACCCGTTGCTGGCTTTATTGTTTATGCTAAGCTTCATTGCAAAGTTAGCTTAAATTGACTTTAAATCATCTATGAAAAACAAACCAATACCATACCAAAAAAAACCCCCAAACAACAAACCCAAACATAAAAAAAACTAATAAAAAACACACAATACAACTAAAATTTACATTTTTATTTTTTATTTTTTTTTAATTCCCACTCTCATCCCCCCCCCCTACACCATTCCCCTACCCCACTCATCACACCATTATCTTATCAATCTAACATTACAACACATTACACACTCCTCTCCTTTCCAATTACAAACCTATTTTCCAACACCTTCCCATATTTTAACCTATACAATCCCCATCCCCCCCTCCCTCTCCACCTATTTTCTACTATCCAACTTTAACCATATAATTTCCACCCTCCCCCCTTCCCCCCCAACCTTCCACCCCCTTTCCACCATAAACCCCCCCCATCTACCATATCCCCCAAAAAAACAAAACCATCCAATATTATCAATCTAGACAGACAAATAAAATACCTCCCAAATTAATCAAATATACATCCAATATACACACCACGCCCCAATCCATCCAATCCAACCCCCCCACTCCTCCCCATCCACCCTCCATCCCAACCCCATATACCCCCACTCACCCTCACACCAAATATCAACATTATAAACCCCCATTCAATGTGTCCCAACCACACACACAAAACAACCACACCTAATAATAATAATCTCTCTCACCATATTCATTCCCTCCCAAATTCCCCCCCCACCTCCCCCCATCCTAATACCCTAATTCTCAATAACACCCCCCAAAACTATCTACCAAACTACACTAACAATTCATTATAAACCTTCCCTTCCCTTCCTAAACTAACATATCACTCCCCCAACCAACCCCCCCCTCACCCACCCCTATATCCCCCCCCCCCTCAATCCTCCCACCCCCCCTTCCAACACCTCAACCACCCTCCCCATTTTACTTTCTCCCCCTTACTCCAGGCCTAATTTAGACCATCCAAATAATCCCCAAGTTACTAATCCTTATATTTTACTCTCCCCCCACACTCCCCTCCCACCACACCCTCACCACCCCATATACATCATACTAAAATATACCCATTTCCCCCTCCCCCAACCCCCCCCCAACCTCACTACCCCCATCCCTCCCCTTCCATACACTCATCCCTCTCCTCCACCCACCATCCCCACCTCCCTATTCACCTCTCCCTTTGTCCCTGCGCTATCTAGTCCTTCGACTTCTCCCTCCTAGTGTCAGTATACTGAATGCAGACTCTATCTATCTCACCAAAAAATTACATGTTTTCACCTCCTATCCAATAACATCACTATTATCATCCCCCCAACACATCACTTCTCCTACCAATGGTTTTCACTCACCTCAACATTGTGTATATGATATCATCACTCAACCTTTCTGTCTCCAGCCATACACTAACTATAACTACCGTTCCCCTCCTTCACTCTGGAAACATACTCTCCTCCAGATCTGAAGTCACATATATCTAAACTATGTCTTCTCCTGTGATGTGTCGACACAACCCGAGATCAGATATCTCAGTTCATCAGAGAAATAGATTACACTATAGCACGCTTGCTCACCCTCTGTCACATCCAGCACGTCCTAATACCATGTGTGTGTTCAATGTGTCACAGACAGAACTATCAGTCTCTCTATCCCCCACACACCTTCTGTGTGTCTTGTGTAAGCACCTACTCGCTGTCACTTGTGCTCACCATCTTCTCACCCTAACCCAGAATAATGTATTTCAACCTCGACGCATTGTAAATAGATGATCCGTGCGTTGTGTTTCTGCTCCGAGAACCCTCACACTCACACACTACCCTAATAATCTGAACCATAGTCCTCGACACCCACCAACGCTGTATCTTCTCACATCTCACCCATCCAGCTAAGCCTACTGTAGTCATCTCCCAACCAATATGACACCAACATAATTTACAACGTATGCTCAGTTCGTACATAGTCCATTATACTAGAAGATAAAACCTCTGCATCTACTAGTCTCCTGCTAGTGATCTATTAAAAGATGACCCACTTCGTCCTTGTAAGCAATGAGAGAGTGTGTATGATGTGTAACACAATCCCGCTACTCTAGATCTTTCCCAGTATCACTCGACATATTCACCTGTTCTATACTACTGTCTGTGACATAGACACGTCATATTATAATTTCACCCCACCACTCATCCCACCCTTGTGAGATAGAGTCCTGTGGATATTCCAATAATAAGTGTGCACCTCCGCAAAAGTACCAGAGTCACGATTCTATTACTAAAAGTTTTCTGTATGCGCGCCTACCCTTTGTCTCTGATAACAGTCCATAAGCACTACCGTATCATTGCTCTGTTGTATTGACACCCTCCTCGATTTTGTAGTGATCTAGTATTCGCACTGTACCCACATCCATGTTAGTTCGCTCTGTCACGATACACGTCTCTGATTAGCACCTTGTCTCTCATCATCTCCATGGCCGCATATATTCTCAGCTAATCCATTGCACTGTGTATAACTTTCTCACCTGTGCCCTAATCCTTCCAACTGCTACTATGTGTGTTCCTCTACTCTACTCGACACGACTCACCCACATACCATCTACGCCACGCACTGTTCATGATGCTATCTCAATACACCATTTTCCAACTACACTGAGTATCCCGTCATGCTAAGATCCGCACTCTACTGTGTGTCTTCGTCTCTGGTTGATCTCTATTGTGTGCAGAAAGTGACCCTCGCTCTGTACATCAATCACCTCGGACCACAACGCTCCCTTGTGCACACCTCTCCAACTCGCCCGTATGCATACTATCAGAATAATCCCCTATATCAAGACCCACTACATGTGTCAATCTGCAATAGACATGTTGTCTGTGTCAATTGCACCTCCACTAAATTCACCTCTTATGCTCATCACGCTTGCATGCCTCAGAACATGTCGCCATAAGAGATAGCCAATAATTCACAGTATCACTATCAAGTAGTCTATAGAGATCTCCGACACTCACCTGCCGTCTCATTGCCCTCACATACTGTGACTCATATCTCACCAACACTCATTCTCGTTGTGTACAGACCCTTCTCTCAACTGACACTATAGACCTAGGAAATTTGCCCTAGCTCTCCAGAGATCACTCTCTAACAGTCGTATACTTAGATATGATTATGAAGTGTGTATCACATCCCAAATCTTCCCACCACTGTAGTGCTTGAGTGCCTCTCATCACCTCACTCTCGTCTCTCTCACATAACAGCCTTTCACTCTGTTCCCCATAGAGCTCATAAAATGTAACTATGTATAGAGACTCTTTATGTGTTGTGTGTTAATCCCTGATCACTTATTTGACATTTATCCTATCCCCATCATCAACCCATTACCTTCCAAACTACACACATCTCTACATCACCATATACCACATATTACACCAATCTCTACACAACCAAAACCCTCCATCTAAATTCCCCACTCACTAACATACTTCTAAAATCCACCACATAATTTTATTCATAATTCTCTGTCACGTAAATTTCCAACTACATTCCTATTTATTTCTTTATATTTTCACTTAATTCATTTCCTCATCTTTTCTATATCTTCATTCATTTACTTTTATCTTATAAACCATCATTCATTCCTATCATTTCCATTCTTCATCAATACTATCATTCACATATTAAGTAGAGAGTCCCAGTCCATAAGAGAAAGATTGTGTTCCTTCACGAGTATGCCGCGTTTTCTCTCGCCAGATAGCTCTGACTCTACTCCCTAATGTGTATACTCCATAATCCAAACAAACCTCCTGTGCCATCTCTCTATATGAGATGTCTCGTGCTCACCTCCCTGCCCTCGTCACACGCAAAGATCATAGCGTGTGAGTCCATTGTATTTCTGAAAGATACACATCGCACATCCCAAGATATGCACTCACACTAACCTTACTGGTCCGCCATTAGTCTGCACCCTGTTCCTCCCTTACCTCACTATACCTGTAGATATTGTGCCAACAGCCCACGATCCCAGTCCTCCTCCTCCTCTAATAGCACTCGCTCATAGTATCTAAGCACAAATAATCTGTGTTACCATTGATAACGTTTGATATGTAGAGAGTCCTGATACCCACATATACTCGATATCTGACAACTCTTCTCGTCAGATAAACCTCAAGCATCCCAACTAAGTTTAGCACCTATTCTGTTCCTCTCTCTCTCATCACGTAGACACTCGTGAGGTAAACTCCCTGTGTACCGAAATGATCACTACACGTGAATATAGTACCACTGTCCCGTAGGTGATGCTCTCACTAGTGCCCCCACCCTTCTTACTCCTTTCGAACCAACAATATCACACCTTGTTATTCAGATACCCCAGTGTGCTGCATTGTGTCATCATCAATCGTCCCTGTCATCACATTGTCTCCTCTTTTCCGCATACTCATCCCGTCTCTGCTTCTCACCCCCTGCCTGCATCTTCACTTGTCGTCGTAGTCCATTCTGAAGTTTACTACTCAGCCGCTGCTGCCTGATGTACAGTGTATGTCAAACTGTTCAACTAATGTGTGCCCTCTGCTGTGTGACGTATCCCGTCCATACTAGTTGCACCAACCCCTAACAACACACCATTTCCCCTAATAGACCCTTCAGTATAGTCCTCCGTGTACTATGTGACCTGTATGGTTTGGTCCTCCCGTGTAGCTCGCTCGAGTCATAACTCTGCATACAGCCTAATCAAATATACTCATTTGTTGTGTGATATGTTGTGTCCTCCCGTACTGTGGAAGACCTGTAACCCCACTACTCTATATAATCTCTCACCTCAACTCCTGAAAACTTGTGCTGTCTAACTATAACATAGTGTCGAATCGCCTGACATCCAGTGTATGTATCATGCTTAGTTAGTGTACGCATTCTGATAATATCAGATATCCTCCTGCCGCTCTCTGAACTCGTCTAGTATCCCCGTGCTGCACCCACACTCTAAAGTTACTCTAGATTCTCATCAGACAGATTCTATGCTCTTGTACGAAGTCATCATCTATTAGAGAACATAAGCTAAGTAGATGAGACCAAAGATGTCTAAGACAGAGACTAGAGAAAAAGGTTACTACGACTGACTATCAAGTGTCATAGATGCAGTGAGTACTACCTTTACACATCCTCCTCAGACTTGTAATAAACCCTAATGCAAACAGAGATATGAACATCGTGTCTCACACTCCTATTATATCGCCTGATGACCTAATACCAACGATAACACAATACTAAGAAGTAGTAAGATATTAGAAATACCAAATGCAATGTAGATAGAGAATGACATGTGAACGTCCATCCTAACTGTCTGTATATCTATCGACATTCTATGTTGTTCTCTTCTCTCTCTCCTAGATAAAGAGCATTTACCCATCTCCACTACAAGCAATGAAATACCGAAACTCTAACCAAAAAGAGTATGTCCCACATTGATAAGCGATACAATCTCCGATGAAGTATCCGAGTCCTCCCTCAATCAGTGTGAACGTGACCTCTCACACCCTCTCTAACCACTACTCACCATATAAATGACTGTGACTGCAATTCTGGAATATATGACTCTAAGACTAAAAGTTCACCACGTACTACCCTCCCTTGTGATAGTCACCCCAAAAACAAATCTCATTACACCTATTAAACCATTCATTACTCCAACTACACCCCCACATCCCTCTTTTCCAACTTCTTACCCATAAAAAACTACTGAGATATAGAAGACTATCTCCCTAACATCGTCACAACCACAATGACTTTCCTCACATGTAATCTATCTAATACCTCTCTCGTGTTTAAGAATAGAGACTCACAAGTACGTCTAGACTAGTCTTCATATCCTAACTATGAGATTCATCTGACTCTATGAACTGTGCCACACAATAGTCACATCATGTGAGTTATGTGACCCCTTCTGCTCCTACTCTCCCTTCTGTCTAGCCGCAGAACAACCTAGACTACCACATACTGATATAACATATATACTCTACTCCGATCAGTTGTGACTATCGCATCCAATCTGCTACTAATGATCTCTTCTCCACGAACTGTATGTCATATATACTACGATAAAGATAATGACATGTTGCACACACCACGCCATACCTCCTGATACATCCTAATTCTAGTGCTACTAGATTGTCCTCTCTGCTCTTATACCCGCAGTGATCGTGCTCAATCTTACTGTAAAGACCTCACTTGTCCAAAGTTTTTATTTGTGCAAACCCGCTCCTGTCAACATATACAGATCTGCCCATGAGCTAAATACAACTTTGTGTGCTCTTTTAATCATGAAGTAAAACCCCATAAAACATCTCGTTATACTATCTTATGTCGTCAATGACTAGAGAATCCGCCTACAGAGTTATAAGAGTAAGCAACCGCCGTGTGTGTCGCTATGTTCCAAACCATATCTCTACAAAATTTCTACTCGCCATACAAGACACAAGTTTATGGACTGTGTGTTCTGAATGAGTCCACCAGCCTAATAACACTGTGTATACTATCTTCACCTCACCTCACCTGTCCCAATGCATATGTTGAATGAGATACTAATCGCGCCGCCTATAAGTGGTCATGAGACCTACACCACACTCCATATTCGCTCTAGCTCCTCTACTACATACAAGTGAGTTAACTCGTTTAGCATGATCTCACTAGCTCTCTTGATCTCTCGCTCTACGTGCTGTCTCTACTCGCCTACACTCCCATCCCTAGTAGTCTATTACTCACTTTCTCTGAGCCCTAGTGATATCCCACACGCGCTCTCTACAATCCTGCTACACCATCGTTCTATGACTGTCCCCACCCATGTCACCACTCTGACATTACTATAGTGTATGTGATACTAAAGATGTGACCCGTATCGTCACCAGCATCAAGCATGATGCAATTGTATCACCACAAGTGTCCTCTGCTCATGTCTATTGTCTGTCTATCATCTTAACGGTGCCTGCCAACTGTCACCACATCTGTTCGTACGCTCTGCTCCTAGAGAGTGCAAGCTGTCTCGTCTATCATGATTACCTGTTAACACTGTCACCCCATATTTGTCTCACTCTTCGTACAATCTCTCATTATCACGTTGAGTCGGCTCCATCACTCTCGTACTTCACGTAGTTGCTTGACACGTTACATGACACTACCTCATCCTCTCATTCTCTCTTGAATCATCCAAAAGTACACATGATCAAATCCACACCAATAACCTCTTACTCAACTCCTCTCACAATCAGAAACAGTGATATTGTCTATCACTCTCCTCTATCATCGAGCCCATCTGTGAAGTTAGTCTCTACTCTATACACTCGCATGAATGCTCTCTATCTTTATATAGCAACTCTCCTCCACACATTTCCCCACTCTGTCTGTACTCACACTAAATGCCGTTCTCTCAGAGTCACTTTCAGCATCTCTCGTCATCGAAGTGACCACTCGTCGCAATCTGAGATTCGATCACCACAGTGTGTACAAGAGACCATAAGCTACAACTACTAGAGTCCAAGATCACGCCAGTCTAGTTAACTAGTGTCACGAGTGTGCACTTGCCTTACCACCCACGCACCATAACGCCATCTCAAGTGCAACTAAGTGTATAGTCTACGCAGACGTGTATATGTTCATTGATATATACCCATGTTGTCTCGTCGTGAGTACGTTCCCAGAATTTAGAACTATGTGCTTATCCACTACATTATCTCCTTCAGTGTCAGTGTACCTCTACACCCTATCAGAGTAACTCCTATCAAGAGTCGTCTCTCCTGATGATAGAAGATAGAGTCATGTGTCGGCTATACGTGTCGCTCCGTCCTTCGTGTGCCCTACTCGCTGCGCCATTCAGTTCTCAACCTGTGACAAACTCAACTAGGATTGAGAAACTCTATCATTGAGATCACAATATACACTGTAGTCGTATAGATTACATGTCTACTCTACTATATCGTGTACCTCCAGAACCATATATTTAGCTAGATTATCTATACCTTTAAATATCTAATTAAATTACACAAATATTCACCTAAAACTACCCTACAATTACATTCTTTATCATTCTTAACCCTCCTCCAAACTCACATCCGTACTCTAATCGCTGTAAAACAGACGCTTCTGTACCTAACTCACCCTTCCTATCCTCTGTATAAGCTTGTGGTAACCTGAAACTTCCAGTTAATGTCTCACCTAGTAGTCACTCTCAGTTACTAGACTCCTCCCCCTCACCATCCCCATCCTATACTCACACCTAATCTCCTGATCCCCGTAATACTCCTCGTCATCCTATAGTGTCAATAATAAGACACATGTGTGTGTCCACACCTACATGCTCACGTATCCAATATCTTCTCGTGATCTCAATTCTCAAAAGCTATCTCCTACATACAAACAAACACCAAAGAAACCATATGTCTAGTATAAAACTCACACTTACCTTGCTATTACTACGAGAAGAGACATTTCAACACTCAAGTCGTCAACTCAATATTTAACACCTTGTTTGTCCTATATGTAACTGAGCCAGACCGCTGACTGTTTGAGTTAACGTTCATGTAAGACTCACAATCTATGTTTGTTGTATTCGCTCATCGTTGACTCTACTCTACTCTATGAGTTGTCAATTGTGTACCTCAGAATATATGTAAGTCGTAGTGTATCCAGCTAATGTTGATCACGCTCCCGCTCCTATGTGGTGTCGCCTCCGTACTGAGAGTCCTGAGCTAGTAAAGATCTAGTGTATATGAATTATCACCTCTCTGTCCTACAAGTCAACACTGACCCTCCATTTCCCTGCCATATCCGTAGAGATCCTCCCTTCTGTTAGATCCCCCAAAAGCACGGTAGTGTCACCATTTTCCCACTACCGTCCAGAAACGTGCGTTGACTTCTACACTGATCACTCCTCTAACCACCGTTGATCTTCATATCACTAAGTTGACACAGTGTACCCAACTATCCTGTCTAATGACTCATACTCCGCCACAACCGCCCTGTGTCTAGCTCACACATGTGACTCCCCTGTCCGCAGGTACTACGTCCCATTCCCCTTATCTTTCGCCTCGTCCCTCGATAATCGAACTCCGTCAAGCTGTCTGCTTAGCTCCGCTACTGCCCTTGTCCTTAGTTCCCCTAGTCTTCAGCCAAATAGTGTGTCTCATCATTTCCCCACCAAAATGTCATCTCCTCTTTCCAACTCATTTATCTCCCTCACTTATCATCACTCAATTCAAGCGGTGTGCAAGATCACTCACTTCTCTCTACCACAATTCCCAAAGTATAAGTTGACTGATTCTGATATATCCTGATTGCCCTTAGCTGATCTTGCGCCGGTACGACTGGTTCGCTCATCGCACGGTATCAACCCACGCACTCTCACTACTTGTCTACCCTTTACCGCATAAGCATGAGTGAATAGAGAGAAGATCTGATGTCGTGACATGTGTGTGTACTAATCTCTAATTAACTCTGACAACAGTGAACAGCTACATATCCTCTACAGTGCGCTGTGTGTCATCCTACCTATCTCCAATATTGATGAACGCTCCGTGCATCTCTCTCTCTACTATCCCCTCACTCATATACAGAGACCACTATCACCACAGTTGCCTACCATGAGGCTCTCGCACTCCCTCCCCTCGTCGAGAGAACATATGAGAATGCCAACATAAGCTCTGTGCTCTGACCTATATCACATCTACGCTGAATTCCCTCATTATACTCACACCAACTGTATATCACTCCACTACCTTCCACTACCACCCGTCTTATCTAGATACTACCTCTACCATATAGAGCAACAGATGTACATCATATCCTCTCTCACACGCCCTCCTGCAATTCTGACCTAGTTATACATCTCCCAATCTACACTCACTCTTTCCACTACTAGATCTAATACGACTCTAATCATACACCTACAGAACTCTACACTCGATGTAGCTATATACATCCTATTCCATCAGAGAGCCATAATAAAATAGTACAAGTGTCATCTCCCCCAGACAATCCACGAATACTATGTGTCTCCAGATCTATGCCTGCACACAAATGTCCAATAAGTCAGCGCTGTGCCGTGATCACTTGAATCTCCTGCATCCATACCGTCTCACATGTCAGCCTCAAATCACAAACAATACGCCCACCACCCCAATAACAATAATTTGTCTCACTTAACTAAAGAGTCCTACACAATATGGCCCCCGTTGAGTTGTCGTTCGCCCAATCCACTCGACCAAGCCTCCGCCTAATGTCATACAATCGCCAAAAGTGCCCCCTCACTCATCTTCCCAATAGACTCCTACACTATCAATTGAACTCCAGATATCACACTCCAATAGAGTCATATTATGCTTCAGTTGTGTGTGACTCTCTAAATCTCCACTCCTACTTGTCTACACCCAATTCCTAATATGATTTGTATTGACCCGGCTCCTATTACACTACAATCTCTCCACTAGATAAGACTATGTCTACTATGTTTCTCGCCTGATAGATGAATGATAGATCGTGTGTCATCTCCCTGTTAGATAACTACCTATTCACAAACTCCCTATTAATATATAACGCTAATATATACTGTGAACAAATACCCTCGACCCAGCCCCCGCCTAAATCTGTGTGTGTGAGAACATAGTACCACTCATACATAAATCGTGCTGTGTTCTGCTATACCATTACTCACACGACATCAACCCACCAGTGCCGACCCCAATGTGTCATCACATCTCCTCTCACAGTGTCCCACTCCACCCAACGCTGCCGTCTCCCCATGTCGCCCCTACCCCACTATCCCTATGTGTCACTCCAAAGTCAGTCTCGAACAATGAGACTAAACATAGTGTGTACTAAGTTCACCCATCACTACACTCACAGTAAGACGTCGCGCCAATTTCACAGTCCTAGTAGTGACCCTACACTGCCACAAACACTCTCATTTACTGTCACTCACAGAATATATGTACTAGGACCTGTGTCTCATACTCTCATCCATACCTATACATGATGACAACTCCTAACTTCACTCAAATCTTATGATACCTCCAAGTACATAGTGCCTCTCTTTGGTAGATAGAAACATGTGACTGCCTCCATTGCTCTAGCTGTCCCTTACCAAATATATCTCCACCAGGCGCTACCAAATAGTTCCTCCACAATACCGAATCGCTACCCAACTATCCATCAATGTGACTCCACACACGCTCCTCTGAAAATCCCAATAAACTCTCGTTATTGTGTGTAATGCATGTCGCTCTACCTCCTGTAACAGCTCTCTACCGTTTCCCTATCTATATGTATAGTGTTAAGCTACTCCCGTCACCTCTGTACGCGTAAACATCTCCCGTACCACTGCCACATACACACGACGTACCAGCACATCCCCGCGTTGCTGGTCCACTAGGTCTACCTTGATCACACACGTACTACTCCCTCTTACAATTCGATAGTACTAACTGTTCTCTCCCCACCTAACATCTCACTTCCTCACTCTCCTGCACCATCTCCACCTCTAACGACCTCCTACGATACCCTAGATAGTCTCATCTCTCAAGTTCTCCCCCAATGCATATCAAATCACATCTAGTTCGCCCTGCCTCGAATACGTAAACTCCTCATGCCACCTGTCATGCTTACTGTTTTCCCAATTAAATACACCAGTGTTTCTGATCCTGTACGCATAGTGTATACGTCATTGTAGTGTGCAGCAATCACCCTCAGCTACCCTCACACAGTGTGAAGTGCTCACTGACCACTTGCATAACATATGGTCCTATCACTAGTAGACCCCCACGCAATGTGTAACCTACTCTCTCTGTCTATCAATCATGATAACCCCCGTTCAAACGTTACGTCTTCACCATGTTTGAATGAATAGTACTGTAACACTCGCGCTAGACCCGTGTCAATCAGAGTCATCTGCTCTAGTAATCTGTAACCTCTACGTTATCTAACTCCCGCTCCACCTGCACCTCGTACACCTCACCATCTAAGTCAATCCATGTAGTGTGTATGATTCTCCCCTCTTCTACTAACATTACCATCTGCACACCTATCTCATAACATCACTTGCCGTTCATTATACCTGTCGACCAGAAATATGATTGCATCTGATGAAATCTCCCCTCATAACCCTCATATGTGTGATCCTATTCCACTACCCCACATCAAAAAGCTGATCACATTGACAGTCCGTGAAGACAGATCATAGACCTATCTACGTTTCCACATCACCTAGTGACTCACTCCTGTGTCCAACTCTATCCCCGTGTAGAGGGTGTTGCACTCATCTACCTTCACCTCACAACCTCCAGAGTCTCTGTCCCGAGACTATATACATGCCACCCTATGTCTAGTCCTCTCAAGAGACATTTGATGTTTACCTAACAAACACCTCCCTGTTTGTAACCGCTACACACAAGCCACCCCTCTCCCGTCTCCACTACTCAGTCACCTCCCTCCTCACCTCCATACATACGCTCCTACTCCTTCACTCCCACACCTCAACTATGAGCTCGCTACTCCTCTTATCCCCCTCCCTCCTGCCATCGCGGTACCCGCTTCTCACCCTCTAAAATATTGTCACAGAAATGTGCATACCTGTGCTCTGTCCATACCTCAGAAAGAACCCGCCACTCACAATACAACAATACTCTCACATCAATTAAACATGACACTACTGTATACCATTCCTCCCACTACCACTATCTAATTCCCTGTGCTCACTTGTCTTCCCCGTATACAGTCTGCTAACAAGTGCTGTCCTCTATGCTATGCCAGCACGTACACTCTCATGCATGTCGTGTATCCACTGCACAATGTTGTCCCCCCACAGCTACATCTTCTGCATCACGTAATTAGATCTCTCCGTCCTGCTCCGTGTCTCCTTGCCTCACTCACATATGTGTGTACCCCAACACGTAATCCTCTCCCCCACGCTAGATCAAAGTTCGCCAGTCATACGCCGTAACATCTCGTTATCCCGTATGACACTTCTATATCCGTGTAAGCATCAGATATTAGCCAGCATGATGCGTGTACTGTGCCACCATGCTGATGTTGTCTCGACACACGTATCATCCAACCCAACATCTATCCCTGTCATTATCTCACTCGTCACTCTTCCTCTGAAAACCGTGTCACACGTGTCTGTCTCTCCGTGTGCACCCACATAACTGCATCATATTTGTGTGCCATCACTGAGATTGTTCTACCCACTTCTGCGCCCATTACGTGCCACTATAAACCATCACGTGTGTCGCGTGGTGTATACAATATCTCACATAGTGTGTTACACACCCTCATTACAACAAGAAATATAGATCCATAACACTGAATATCTCAGTGTGCTGATGACTGCTGCTCTGTCAACTTCCTCTACACGTGGAGTCTATGCAGAACACCCTCTAAGCCAAAAACTGTTAGACCCCTTCATACCACCCATCAATTGCTCATCCAAGTGTGTTCCCCCGCTACCTAATCATCATCTCTGTGATCCCGTACCATAACTGAATTTACACCTCTATCACTGACCGTATCTCTGTACCGACCATGTCCATAATCTGTGACATGAACTCCAGGTGTCTAGCACACTAAATAAACACTGTGAAGTACTCTGTCTCACTAATCTCGTGTGTCCCGAACACTCGAGCACAACTCACTCCGTACAACACCCCCTCTCCCTGCACCCTTCACACTAGATACACACCAAACTCCATCGATCGCTAATCACAATGTGTCATACACTCAGATAAAACGTGAGATGATGTACGTTTCATCTCCAGAGATAGGCACTAATTGTTCAGTCCATCAACCAAAAACTGCTTAGATCAGTATGTGTCAAGTGAACACACCTGTTAGAACACATATACTCTCCACAGCACTCTCACTCGCGCACTCACTCACACACCAAAAACGAAACACTCCTATTCTACTATGTCACTCTATAAAAGATAGATCTCATTTATTCAACAATCCATTGTCAAGTATTGTGACACTAAACCCCCAAGAGAAGAAAACGCAGTCCCTCATAGCGCCTGTGAAACCACCCGCTTCCATAAACAAAACCTCAATGTTAAACCACTACCCAATGTCATTTTATGTCACTCTCAGCAACCATACTATTACAGCCCCCACATACCTCCACCACAGTGTCCACTCTCCCCAGGTCTGTCCAGACCATAGTTATGCTTCTTTTGCTTGCGCACATCGTGCTATCTGAGACTATCTACCACATCTCTTAATTTTCTCTCCCATTACACATAATTTTATTCCTCTTACTTATCACATACCTCCACTTGTAAGATCTGATCCTCCCACTCTACTGTCTTCTCCTCACACCTGCACTCTGTCCAACTCCTCTGTCAATCATCAAGAACTCTCCACAACCAGACCAAGCAAACGCCATCACCTGTACACAGCCCTCTGTCTGTCATCCTAAGTTTCACCCACCTCAATCTTCCATCCTATGTCCCACTTCTCACAACCAAAGTACCGCCAAATCTCCCTCTATCCTCCCAAATCTACTCACATACCCCTATCCTATGTCCTTGAGCTCTCTTGTGACCCCAAATTACCTCCATAAGAGTGTCTCGACCTCTATATCCCTATACTTAATTACTCAGTGCACCTATTCTTCTTGTTCTGTCCTCAGATGTTGTACATGTCATCAAGTGTGTGATACATATCTAGCCCCTTTGAATACCCTCACATCACTATGTGAACCAATCACTACTTACATCATACCACACCACTGTGCTACTCACGCGTCCACACACTCCCACCCAAAGATACCTCGTCCTTCAATAACCACCTTAACCCTACGACATATCACTAAACCCAACACACTCCCCCCATCTCATTCAAATATTCCCAAAACCCCACTAATTCCTCCCACCCAATTCTCCTAAAACCCCTCTACCCCTCATTTTACCCCTACCCCCCCCTAATACCAACAAACCTAAAAACCTTATTTCAATCAACATTTCCCCCATCCCCTTCCCATAATCTCACGCATCGCTCACTCGAATGTCCCCTTAAATAAGTCATATCAACCACCCCGTAACTCTGTCAGTTGTATCCGTGTCCGATTATCACTACCTATCCTCGATCTCCACTACTCCTGCATCTCCGATGCCGCGCACTCATTTCCCATGTCTCTTGAGTGTAGAGATACCTCTAGTCCATCACAAAATAGTATATCGCTAATGATCTTGTCATATGTCAAAACATTTCTAATGTAAGTAATACTAGGTATGAACTAGTCCGATTACTTTCTCTACCTACATCCCCACATCTATATATACTACACTCCCTCCCGTGTATCCCACATAGAACTCTATCGCATCTGTGTCTCCCTCATCACCACATACTCTCACCAGTCTTGTATCTGATGTTCGCCCACCATCCCTAGAGACTTGAACGACCCTATCTACTTCCTATACCAGTGTCTGTAGTCCCTGCAGATATGCTCAATATCTCACAATTTACACCCCCTTGTGTCTCTGTGCTTGCGTTTGTCATTGTGTTCTGCCAGAAATCCTCTATATACATGCAATATACTCGTGTAATATAACCATACTGTGCCCATACCTTAAAAAGAAGTCTACCTCCTCCTATACTCCTCTTCGGCCGCAGTGACCACCACCCCGCATCCAACTAACTCATGATTGTGTATAGAGAAACAACCTCGCTATAGAAAAAAGAAAGATGATGCTATCCATGTGTAATCCAAGTATGCACTAAGTACGTGTGTCGCCCAACTCCTAAACCTACATAGTATTGCACTCTCACTCATATTGTAGACGCCTGAGTCACTCCATTCATATAACTCAGGTTCTCTCTCACTGACTAAAGCGTGCTGTCACTACCCCCGGCACCCACGCTATATCTCCACATCCTCATCATGTAAGTAACTGAAACTCACATCTCAGAACTACCCCAGTCGCCTTTAGACCCTTAGCGTGTTGACAGAACAATTGTGCCTAGTGTCATCTACCCAATACTACTTCGAGTGTACAAAGTTGACGTCCTCACATCGTGAGTATCTGCTATTCTGTTCCAACGTTCTTGACATCACGCCTCATCAACCACACCCATGTACTCTTCATGACTTACACCTCAACTTTGTCCTATCATGTCCACACATTAATTGTTACGTAGTAGTTATTCTGACCAACTCCGAGCTATTCAATCCAACATTCCCACCATCAAACCCCCTCTTAATTTATTGTCCATCACATCACCATAAACACACCGATAATAATCATGCGATGTCCCATATTGTGATACTCCAAACCAAATATAGTCCCCTTCTCTGAGTTAACCGATATGTTCCTTGATAATCACACAATTTAACATCATCTAACCAAACCTGACTCCCCCTTCCATACCATACAATACCCTACCACTCATCATCTTCCATTCTCCCTCATCACATCACAAACCTACCTTTCATCCTCTTATCTTCTTATACAAATAGATTGTCCACGTTTAGCGAGCGTGATGTATTATATGTCGCAGTGTAACTGACATGACGTCAATATGATCCCAGTATGCATTGCTCGTTACCAACTATCTTCTATAGAGATGTTGATGTATCTCTTCTTCCCCAGTCAATAATAATCTGTTGTGACTGCCGCAACCCTACTGTCTAATAAATCCCCATAACACCAACCTGTGTCGTACTCTCTATACCATTGCCAGATTACCCTAATGTAGTATGGTGAAGTTGATATACCACTACGTGTAGTATTTGTTATGTGTGTGAATGACTCGAACTGACTCTCTTCTGTGAGCTCACATCCCTTTTATACTCCTGATCCGTAGCTTGAACTACCGTGTCTTTACCTAGTAATTATATCTCTCCATAGTCCTTAGCCTGTAAGTAATTCTCCGATTGTGTGTAATCTCTTTAATGTTATCGCCGTTTTTATCGCTTCCTATTTTTGCGACGTCTGTTGTCTTAATCAGTGTACATTAGTAAGTCCAATGTCATCCTTCCTAATTATATGTTCTACGCTATATTGGTACCTGTAATCTATCTGTAGAAATCTACCGTAAGTCTAACTGATGCAATAGATTGTGGTGAAGTACAATATATTGTTTACTGAGTGCCCGTAACTTTGCTAGCTCTAATGGTGTATTCAGTATGCTCTATCGTGGATTTAGAGATGATTGTAGAAAGATGTGCCAGTGTGTTATCTTTGTTCATTTATACAAAAATTTAGGCATTAACCATTTTTTGTTGTTGTGATCTGAAGATGAAAGTCTAAGAGAAAAAGACTTCGTTATGTGCAAGATATGACTGTTGTGTGTTTTATTTAGCGTGTGATGTGATAGTAGTTATGTCGCAGTCCTCTGTATCGCGTGTTTCGATTTTGAGTTCTAGTACCCTAGATGATGACTATGAATAGAGCAGATCCTAGACTAGTTGTTCTAGGTTGGAGAGAAAAGAAACAGCATGATTGATTGCGCTAATAGAGATGGAGCTGCTCTCGCTGTTTTGCTCATAGTCACTTAGCTTTTATTGTTTCGCATTTGACCGTGTCTGTCCCGATAATCGCTAGTTGTTTCCTTTGTCCTTCTCGCTCGTGTGCATGCACTGACCATCTCGCGTTCGTGGTTGTTACAACTCGTCGCCCAGTACTCGTAATAAGGCTCTCTTGTCTTTTCCTCTCCTCCCGTTGATGTTGTTGAGAGAGATTCAATGGAGGTGTCTTCATGATGGCTGCTTGTTTTACAAATTAACTGTTGTACTGAATGATCAATACAAATCAATATTACGCTTCGTGTTATCATAAGCAAAGCGTGTTATCTTTCATCTCCTCTATGTCGTTAGTAGAGTTCTCCTCTTTGTATCACACTACACTTTTGCTTTCAACTCAGAGTCGGTGTTTTTAACGACATCGAGCAGATGCGGTATGTGATAGTCTCCACATCACACTCTTAGTCAGTCTGACCCACATTCTACCCGTGTTGTGCGATGAGTCTGAGTAATCCGTAGATGTGTCTGTTTAAAAAAAAATGCTTCAATCATGTATGTCTACCTAACACAGTCGACGTTTTGTCTCCAAATTCATAGCACACCACGTAATTATCGAAGTTGAGTTTTTCATTATGTTCTGCTACTTGTACGTCACACGCTATGAGAGCTAAGTATTTCTATTTTTGGTGTGCTGGCCAGGTCCTCGGCTCTGAGTACAGGGAAGATGTATATAGTGCAGGTTAAGCTGAGTTTTAACTTAAGTTGGTCCGCTATAGATAAATGCTGCGTTGCTGTGATTACTAGATCGGACAGCGGCTAATGGAGATCTACGGCGATGCAGGAGATAATCTGTTCTTCGTAGTAGTGGCGTTAATCGTCGTATAGAGACTTCAAGCGGCTAGCGTGTTGTGAGTCATTGTTGCCACGGTCAGCTGTAACGCTCTTTTTCCTCAATATACGTGGTGCTCCAAATTCAATACGCGGACTATTGTCTAGTAGATCAGTCACAGGATTGATGTGTCATTTTTTGTTTTTCTGTGGGGACGCTAGAGGCGAGGATAAGATGCAGCAATGTAGTATGTGTGTGTCTCATTAATTGGGCTGGCGAGCGCCGTGGACGTTCTGGTGCCTTAGTCGGTGTGATCTGTACGCTCGCTCTCACAGAGAGTCTAGCTATTGCATAACGCCGTAATTGGCACATATGTGCCTGTTTCGACTTGATGAATCGCGCGGATTAGGGCTAAAGTCAGAGGCCAGAGTTTATGGCCTTTATGGTCACACTGCCTGTCACAGGGTGGATTGTGTGAGTGAGAGTCTCGTAGATGTGCTGCAGACGATTCACGCTGAGAGAGTTATGTTGAGAGTTGCGTAGTGTAGAGGAACTCTGCTCCACTAATAGGTAGTCGAGAGCGATTCGAGCTACTAGAGCAGCGTGGCACTCGCTGACTTAGTGATACTAGGTACGCGTCTTCGTCGTCGAGTCGGTATGTGGGTAGAGAGGTTGAGTCCACAGTGTGTAGTTCTTCTCCCGTGACAGATAGTCAGTGACCTCGGTTTAATACAAATATCCTATAGAGTGCAAGGACAGAGTCTACTGTGTTGTGGTCAGTGTTCCGTAAGTTTATCAAGTGTCTATTGAGCGCATTGTAATAGGTAACCCCCTAGGCGCTCGTCGGCCACTCTAGTCTCGAGCTGATGTTTGATGTTTGACTGTCGAATGATATGAATCAATATAGAAAGAATGTCCGTATGTATGCGACAATGTATAGTTGTGTGACTGTAAGAGTGAATGTCTATAGCCTATCGAGCATGATATACGCTCTCAGACTCGCGGAGTGTGTGGCTGCTAAGTCACACCTGCCTCAGACTGCGCTTGTGAGAATAAATGTTGCATGTGGTTCGTTAAGTGATAATCGGATATCACGAGAACCCTGTCTTGTGTGACAAAAATCTTTTGCTCGTCAGAGTGTAGGTGTTTGTTTGAGGCGCATAGGGGGGGGATGCACAGAGAGAAAAGAGCGGCAGCAGTGTTTTGTCCGAGTTCGGTCATGTGTGTGTAGTTCTCGGGAGAGAAGTACGAAAAGTCCCAATACTGTAGTGTATTCATGATTTCAAATGCAGCTCTATTCAAATACACAAATGGTGACTTATTGAAAACGCCATACCTGACACGATAGTTTTCATTTGGTGGGATTGGGTTCGGTCTCCGTGGGATTGTGCTTCTTGCAGACTTTACATTGTCAGCAGCAGACGGAGATGTGGTGTTCTCGTCACGCTGCAGGCGATGTATCATCTCTTGGTTACGCTCCATCTCAACGTCCCTCCCAGCTCCAAAACACACCTAAGAGGAATGAAATAGGGAGGGTTGGGGGAGTCTGGAGGGCAGATTGAGAAAGAAGGAAACTAGGAGAAAAAGATTCTCTGGGGTGGTGTTTTTAGGATGAAAACCAGGACTAACATCTGCTGCAGGGAGAGGAGAGGAGAGCAGAGTATGGAGAAAATGAGCAGTAAACGGTAACATTTATTGTGGATATAAGTGGCATAAAATAAAAAAAGGGTTAGTCACAAACAAACAAAAATAGCAGCCTAAATCAAAACTGAAGCACAGACCGGTGACTTCAGTTATGAATGGGCGTGAAGTCTGTTAGATGGATTGATACGAATGTGACTGAACGCCCTTTTTTCCCCAATATTACTGTAAAAGTGATGAAAAATAAGTCAACAATTGCTCAAAAATTTGGCAAAATGTTTAATTTCAGCACATTTTTACTGACTTAAAACAGGATTAGCCAAAGGGACAAAGCAAAATAATCTCGTTTTGAAAAGATACTAGAAATGTCTCGCTTGGATTGAGAAAATAAAGTTCTTGAAATAAGTCTAAATGGCTTTGTCTCACTGGAAAATCTTGTTTGAGGGCAGCCAGAATGTGCTCAAATTAAGATAAAAACCACTAGATTCAAGCAATTATTACCTCACATTTTATAATGTATTGCAGTGTACATTTCACTGAGCTGTGTTTGCCTGGCTGTGTGGGAGGAGAATGTGTGATGTGCCGTAAAACCAGAGTGACTCCTGTTTGCACAAACGTGTTACAGCGTATGTATTGAAGTTGTGTTGTCTCTCTAGTGAGCGGTTGCATAATTATTTAGTCTCAATAATAATTGTGTAAATATAGCTTGTTTGCTCTTCATCAGAGCATAACTGATGACTCAGAGGGCTCCACAGATGAAGGCTGAGTGTCATTAAATATGCACAAATATAAGCAGACATCACTGGGCTGCCTCCATGGGCAGTATTTATGGTCTCAATCTCAGTGTACCTCTTCCAGTAGTTTCCATCAGGGACAGGAGACAACACAGTCACGTCTGCTTTTCTCCTGATAACATCTGTTTATCTGTTGATTGTGTGCAGCTATGTGTGCTGTGAAACTCAGTCAGATCTGAGGGAGTGGTTTGCTACCTTTCTCAGTATACAGGTAGGTTCTGTCTTACGTTCATTTCTCTATCATTTATGATTCCTAATGTTTATTGGCTGAAACCCTGGCTGTGGGTATGTCTCTAATTTGTCTGGTGTGACCCCTGTTGTCTCCTCACAGTATGACGGCGACATGTGGCCTGAGGATGGAGAGAGACAGACCCGGATGAGCCGTGCTCTGCCGGACATGCACCATGGTAACGTGTCACTCATTCCACTGCGGGGCAGTGAAAACGAGATGCGGAACAGTGTTGCAGCTTTCAGTCAAGACCCGCTTGGTGTGAGTCAACAATCATTGGGGCTAATCAAGGGGAAGCAGCCTCCGAGTGGAGCTGCTGGCTGCAGAGAGACTGGGCAGGTGGCACATGCCCTTTGCCTGCGTCTGTCAAAGGCTAATGGTGACTCATTTGTGCACAGGGACCACTATTATTAGTTCACCTAATCCCTTAGATTGATGTTCTTTCAAATACTTGTATTTGGAGCTGTATTAAAATAGTCTGAAATATGTATAATTAAAAAAGGGTCAAATATATGTTTGTACCTGTGCAGTGCCTGGGCAGTCTCTCTGTTTTGTGATTTTATATTGATTGGATTCTTAAATCAGTAAAAAAAAAAAAAAAACTAAATATTTCAGTGGTATTACTGTTTTGCATCAGATGGTTTGGGAATTCAAAGGATATGCAAAGGGGTTCACAATGCATCATCAGAGACATTTGGATCAACAGAAAGTCTATTTTAATGATTCTTCTTAGAATTCAACATCAAATTATATCCGTTCGACAATTCATTTGAGCAGAATCAATGGCCGCATTTCCTCGAGTTTCTCGGTCAGACCATTCAAAAAAGCCATTTTCCATCAATTCTCTTATTTTCATGCTGAAATTGTGTGCAGTCATCCAAAATAATTCCCTGTGCTGCGGCTGTGGCTGCGCTGGGGCCAAATGTCCGTAATATGATGATGCAGTTGTCCTCTCCTGCTCTGTCTGCAATCACACAGCTCTTATTATGTTTTTGAAGTCTGCGGCAGCGCTTGCCGCTCCCATCAGCCGTAAGGAGAAGTCCGTTTGTTGTGGCCTTGCAGATAGTTTGTATTGATTCCCAGCCTCTTGGCACGTAACATTTCTGTGGAGCTGTGTGATTGCTCCGGTGGCGGTGCAGTGCAGACGCTGAGGTTTGATGCAGGAGTGTGTGAGCGAGAAGTCTGGTTCACTGCATATTTATGTTTAAAGAGAATCTATGAAACGCTGGCCGCCAGAGCGTCGGGCTGTTTGTCTCCTGCAGTCTGACAGTTCATATACTGTGCACAGACACCTCTCCGTGTATGATGCAGGGAAACGGATGAGATGTCTGGCCGACTGTGTTTATGGCTCTCAAGGTGAACGCAATGATGGCCGTCAGGGCGTGTGAATGTTAATGTTAGCAGAGCAGACCACTCCATATCTGTCAGGACTTTAGCACACTGCATGTGCCTCGTTGTAACTCTGTGTTTCACTCATGTTCTCACTTGTGTTTCAGATTTTTAGAGATGTACTATAGTGGAGTAACCTTTTTAAGGTACAGTTCCTGTTTATTTGAGAGTTTTGGAAAATGTAGTGTCAATGTCAGTTTGTGACATTTCAAGTAGAGACTGGGTCCTCCACCTTCCTGTCACCATGGCAATGGTTGATGAAATGGACCACAGGATACAGTGCAGACGCTCTCCTCATGTACCTTTACCTGTAACCTTTAACACAGTGACCTAAGTGGACTGTCTTCTATAGATTATAGAACTATCTGCTTTCTTTAGACTTTATTCTCACTATTCTGCTGTCATGGAAATGATCGATTAAACAAGGACGACGGGTTTTGAATTGTTCATTTTTGTCAAAGTTCCCACTGTTCTTGTATTTATTATATTGATTCAGCTTTTACTGTAAACATGTTAATTACCGTTTTCTAACCTTAGCCTAAACCTCGTCCTGGTTAAGTCTGTAACTTCTCACTGTAATTATGACCATAACCACATATAACCATAACCCACTCCTGCCTCAGCATCTGTGTGAGAGTGCAGTGTTTTAGTCACGTTGGATTTAGCTTCTGTCATGAATCATTGAACTAACTTAGTTTGTAATGTTTTATCAAAGTGCAACACTCAATGATGACAGCTGCCTGTCCTTCTCCACGCTGGAAACTACAGAAACTTCTCACTGTCTGAAATCAAGCTTCTGACTTTGAAGAAACTAATATACATCATTCAAGAGGATACATTTCTCAATATTTTGACATTGAAATAAAACTGTTGATAAATTACATTTATCTAATGTAAACTTCTGATTTTTTTATTGTATATGTTTAATGATATATTGTCAAATCACAAAGAACAACATCTGCCGTCTTTTTCAATTTAGTTTAAACTCATAGAACCATCATTTGATAAAACAAACTCCCCCTGTGTTATTTTTGCAGGCTAGTTTGTAGTTTTTCCACACAATCCGCAAATCTAATTGCACTATCCAAAACTCAGTGCAGCCCTCCCTCGGTGCACTCTGGGAGAGGTGGACTGCAGATTTAGAGTAAACATGGTCACGTGTTGAATACCTGAAGAGTATGGATGCACTGATGCAGCGTTTTCCTGTCAGTGATCAAGAAGCTTTGGATTCAGCCTGTTCTACACCGCTTGAAAAACCAAACCAAGTATCACAAAATACTACAATTTACCCGAAACCCGATCCAAACAGGAAATGTGGTTATATTGTTTTGGTGTCAGACTTTGTGACCTCTCTGTCCCGTTAGAAAACCCTGTGAAATAGCCTTTGGAGTTGGGAGTGAATTGGCCATGCCGACTTCTCCACGGCTGGTCCTCTGAAAGATTGAAACTCCATCCTGCATCATGGAGCTTTGTGTATTTTCTTCACAGGAGGAAGCGGCCGGCTCTACAGGACCCTCGTAAGAAACCTGGAGACCCATTCAAACGCCCGGACCCAGAACTAAAAACACCTCCTTAGACTTTCCACCTCGTGTGTGAGAAGTGGCGTGGCGTGTATGCAGTCACGCACTACGGCCACTAAACGGCTGAAAGTGCGGCCTTTGCTCAGTTTTCGCATGGGCCGATTTATGTCGCATCATTTTATAGATGCATGAAGGACGTTTTACTTTTTGGGAGCATTTACTGCCTTATGTTTTTAGTATATAAATAAAACAAAAAGCTAATTAGTGACGTCTGTTTTGCTTCTTTGTGTGTCACTGTGAGCGGAGTGGACGTTAAAGAAGCAGCAGTATGATGTTAGATGGATTTGGACCAAGGCTTGGCGACGTTGAATGACTATTATGTGGACTTTTGCCGAAAAATGCATATCACTGTGAATGTGGGGAGGACTCTGGGAGAGGAATGCGGACATGGACAAACTCAACAAACTGGTAACTAAAAATGTAAATCCAATTCTCTCGGTTCTCTTTCCAAACCGCATCTGTTTCTGTCTTCTGTCTAATCGCGTAGATTGCACTGTAGCTTGTATTTAAATCGGTTCAATACTTTTGTCAATCTTCAGCCACTGTTCTTTCTCTACCACTGTTCATAGTTATACATATATATAAGTGTTATTTATTTAACTGTGTGCTACAAGTAGACGTAGTAGTTCCGGCCCGGTAGATCTTCCCTTTGATGCTTAACTAGAAGGACATTGTGTCAGTTTGGAAATGGAGGACGTGTACATTTTCAGTAAGTGCCTCTAATGTCTGTACAGTGTCTCATGTCGAATAGTTTTATCAATGTTGTAACCATGCTCCAAATGTTCATACAAATACACAATATTAAATCACAAAATTATTGTTTTTTTTATTGTCTATGTTCTCATTCAGACCTGTATCATTTGGATGCAGCCACAGCAGTGTTCTGAAGTGATGACAATGGTAGCAAGCTTTCCTTTATGCTCAGCGACTTGAGTTTGGCCTTTTCAGACGGTTTACTTTGTACGTTTTTGTTGCCACGATGTGACTGTTAAACTTTTACACATTGTGCATCTGCTGCTGTAATTCAGAAATAATCTTTTATATATATTCTTTGCTTATTTTCTCTATAACAACTGAAAAAATCTAATGGAATCTGTTTTCCACGCACTAATGTTTGACTCTTTGTAAAGCTAAGTGCCTGTAGTTTTGGACCCCAATTACTTATTACTATTTCTCATTCATTCTATGTTATTTTTTATTTTGTAATTCAAGTTTTTATTTTCTTGGTACTTTAAAAAATACAGTTGACACTCATTATGATTATATGCCAACTCTACATATGTGTACTTTCAGACAGACATGGCTGGGGGCCAATATACTGGGCAACAGAAAATATATACACAAAAATACTGTTTGGAATTGAGTGGTTGAGATCATATTATGTTTCCTCTTGTTGAGCGGAATGTGTCCCAGACTGATGTATCATTTATTCTATTTATAAATGTGAAGAGCCTCAAACTCTCAACGTTTTATTTGGTAACATTTACGAAGGAGCGGGTTGAGTCTAGTAGACAGTAAAATGTCTAACTAAAAATCTCCCAGGTCCAACATTTGTAAAATCCCTATTCACTTTTTTTGTTGGGCACGATTTTTAGGTAAGGCAAGTTTATTTGTATAGCACAATTCATACACAAGGCAACTCAAAGTGCTGAACAAAACAAGAAAGAATTAAAATCATAAATAATCACAGAACATTAAAAAGAAAGATATAAATATAAAATCCCTCAGTTGTAGCACAGCTAAACAGAACTGTCTTTAACCTGGTTTTAAACATTGTCAGAGAGGAGGCCTGTCTCACATCTTCAGGAAGATTGTTCCAGATTTTAGCAGCATTAATCTGAAAAGCAGCCTCCCCATGTTTAGTTCTGACTCTGGGCACTAACAGGAGGCCAGTCCCTGTGCTCCTCAGAGTCCCAGCAGGAGTCCAGTCCCTGTGCTCCTCAGAGTCCCAGCAGGAGTCCAGTCCCTGTGCTCCTCAGAGTCCCAGCAGGAGTCCAGTCCCTGTGCTCCTCAGAGTTCCAGCAGGAGTCCAGTCCCTGTGCTCCTCAGAGTCCCAGCAGGAGTCCAGTCCCTGTGCTCCTCAGAGTCCCAGCAGGAGTCCAGTCCCTGTGCTCCTCAGAGTCCCAGCAGGGGTCCAGTCCCTGTGCTCCTCAGAGTCCGGGCTGGTTCATATGGGACTAACATGTCTCTAATATATTTTGGTGCGAGGCCATGGAGAGACTTGTAACAAGCAGAGCTGTTTTAAAGTCTATTCTCTGAGCCACAGGAAGCCAGTGCAGAGACCTGAGGACTGGACTAATGTGGTCGTACTTCCTGGTTCTAGTCAGGACTAATGTGGTCGTACTTCCTGGTTCTAGTCAGGACTAATGTGGTCGTACTTCCTGGTTCTAGTCAGGACTCGAGCCGCTGCATTTTAGCAGTGAGTTCGGAGTTCAAACTGGTGCATGTTTTGGGGTACTTCTTTATTTTTATATTGAATAGTTCATAGTTTGATGGTTGTATTTTCTCAGCAACATTTAAACATATAGAGTTAACAAATATCTAAAAAATGACACAGAATAGTTCCCAGATCATCAAACAGTTTGGTTCTATCACGTGCTTGTATTTCTGCCCTCTTTCACTATCAGAACCACAAAAACGGAAGGACTCAAAATGCAACAACTCCAGAATACTTTTAATACAAAATAAGGCTTGACGGCTTACACACAGGGTACAAGACAATCTGGCACAGAAACAAAGAAACAGGGGGTTTAAGTACACTGGAGGGAGTAGGGACCCAGGTGCAACACATTAGGGCGGGGCTGGTAATCACAGGAGTGAATGCAGACAAGGACCAGGAAGTGAACAGCTCTGCAATGAGACACACAAGGTAAGTACAAAATAAAACAGGAAGTCAAGTCTCAGGACTGGGGTGTGACAGTCACATCTTTAGATCAGCTTTTTCAGTAGAACTAAAGAGAAACCGGCTCTTGATTGGATAAAGACAGCATGTTGTGGTCTGATTGGTTCACAAAATGTTCCTTAAACATGACTGTACTGGGACAAACAAAAGGTGACACAGGCTAATATGCTATTTCAAGAGCTCTGGTGTGTGTCGTCTGGTGCACACTGGGGTAGTCTTGCACAGTTTTTCCAATGTGGTTTTACTGCAAATGGCAAATAAATGAATATGAATCTGAATCTGAAAATGATCTGATGTTCTTCTTTCCTAATTCTTTTCTATAGCCACATTGTATTGTCTCGTACCATGTAACCTCTCTAAAGTAAACCCAAGATTGAACTTCACCTTGACAAGGAATAAACTAGAACCAAGTCAAATCCACAACAGAATAGAGGACGATAATGTATACTTTTAGCCCTGGCGTTTCAAGAAGTCCTTTGTTTTTCTCTTTTTACACCTCTGAAACTCTAATAAACACATCTCCTTCTGAAGTGTGGCTGTAGCTCTGGTGTTATTGCATCCCCCCCACCCCCGAGTTAATATTTTCTCACAAACATTTTTCAAAAGGGTAGCTTCCTCCAGCTCGGCATTGCCCTTGCTTGGTAATCCTCTTGTTTTTTCATTGCTTTTTATGAAATGAGTTTTCAAACAAATTCTAATCTGGCCTGCAGGGCGCTGTGCAGAATGTGTGAGGTGAAGAGCAGCAATGGATCTGTGTTATTGGATCTCAATATGCGGGGCGAGCACAGTCCCACTCAGCCGCTGGTTATTCGGGTAATACAATCGTTTATTTTAATGGTGTGTGGATAATATCGATTAAAGCTGCGTCAATTTAAAGTTGTTCCAAGATGCAGTTGTGTCTAAATGTTTACACATCCAGGCATTTCAATTATTATTCTCTAGTTACTTATAATAATAATACTTTTTTTTTTTTATTTCACTTTGCATTTCCAGGAAACCCCTAAGTGCTACCGATGGAAATACAGTGAACAAAGAAAAAAACATGTGCATTTATATCTATTTCTGTCAAAAAACTACCACATTTGCCCATAAGAGCACGGAACAACACGCTGCTTGCCTTGATGTAATATGTGTAAATAACTATTAATCGAACCGAATTTCTCCATTGTGAGATTACTAAAGTATATCTTCTTATTGTTTCACCCTTAAAAACCTAAACATCATCAGTAATATTTAATCAAAAACGTATAAAGCATGAGTTTGGTTTGTGAGTGATTAGTGGTGCTCAGAGGGGCAGATAGCACAAAGTTGCTGCTCCATATTCCCCCATGTAGGCTGGCTGAGTGGAAAGCATTGTCGCTTCCCAGCAAGAAAGTCCTGGGTTCGAATCCCGGTTGGAACAAGGTCTTTTTGAGTGGAGTTTGCATGTTCTCCCCGTGCATCCTCCAGCTCCTGACCAAGCCGAGCATCAACACCTGGAGATGGGTTCCCGGGCGCTGTTTCTACGGCGACCACTGTGGCATCAGCATGGGTCAAATGCTCTACACCAGGATTTCCAGCCAAACATGTACAGTATGAGATTCAGTTCAGTGAAGTTTATCAAATAAGCCCTGAGCCTCATTTTCAAATTCTAATGACGACACAAATCGCTCTTCTGACCCTGATCAGAAGTCTCCATCCCCACTTCTGAAGAATGTCTATTACCCCCTTTAACATCTATGACAGCTTTGAGTCTTCTGTGGCAGTTGTGGATAAGGTTCTGTTTCCTCTCTGATGGTAAAGCTGCATGATCTTCCTGTTTTTATAAAGGCTCTAATTCCTGAACATTCCTGGGCCGCCCTGCATGAACTGTACATTTGAGATCCCCCTACAGCGGCTCAATGATGTTACAATTTGAAAATGAAAAACATGTTTATCTGGCTTTACACAACCACAAACAATGAGTGGGAAAAGCGAAAGGCTCACATCTCAGGATATCTTTTTATTATGCCTTACTCTATTCGCTTTTTTCTGACTGTTGCACTGAGCCAAAGCAATTTCCAAGTCTGTGACTTCCTGTTACTTAGGTGGCAATAAAAATAATTCTGATTCTTATTCTGATTAAGACAAGTGCTGAGGAACCTTCATGGAGATGCTTGTAGTGACTGTCAGCCTGGGCCTTAGCTTCTGGTTGACGCGCAGGTGTGCTCCGATGAATGTCCAAACTTACAGATATGATTATGAGTAATTGTTCCACAGGTTCCACAAAGTCCACAAGATTATCCACGTTTAATCAGAACAAATGACTAACAAGCAAACTCATGTCACTTTTGTCATGGCATTTGCTCCCCCTTTAATTGTCAATTTCTGGGTCTGGGGGGTTAGCAATCAGAGCTGCCACCCAATGCTCATAGCACCAGTCCGTTGCTGATCCTCCTGCAGGTGGAGGATCTACGGGAAGATGGCTGATGCTCCGACAAATAAGTAAGACATGTAACTTAAAATGCAATAGTAGTAGTAAAATGTAATCAAAAACTGTGAGCCCAGGGTAACTCCACTCCCTGATGTGCGCCCCAGACTGAATAATCAATACAGTGCACCTGAACTAAAACCTCCCAAACCACATATATGAATAAATATAGCAATAAAAATAGTATCAACTAAACTTTTAACCCATGCCAATGTGCAAACAGAGACAGAAGGTACCGATGATGATTTTATCACCGCACTCTTGGACAAGCCCTCATGCTATGCTCGACTTTAGTTCTTGATTACGATCCAGCCGAAGATTCTGGTTGAAAAACTGAGTCAGATGGAAATGAAGCCATGCTATGAAGTGGTGCGGCTCGTTCTTAACTAAGAGACAGCAGTGAGTCAAGTTGGTGACGCGTGTATTGCACTTTACATTATTGAAAACTTTAGGCACCTGTGCATGTTTAGTCAAACTTTACTGGAGGATAACATTTGTAAAGATTCAAGAGCAAAAGTTGATGTCACATGTAGGTGCTTCCATGTCACGCCATGCTGTAGCTGCAGCCCATTGACTGAGTAATGTTGGTGGAGGCGTCCTGGTGGAGGCGTCCTGGTGGAGGCGTCCTGGTGGAGGCGTCCTGGTGGAGCCCTGCGGAGCTCCTGGTGTGTGCATTAGTCACTGTGGCCCAGCAGTCCTCATAAGCAGAGCTGACACATCAGGGTCACAGAGCACCCCGAGACAAGCACCGCTGAAGACCCCAGCAGCCTGTGGGACACACGAGACCTTCACTGTCCCATCCACGCATACAGAACAGGAGCGCCACAGGGAAGAAGTGTGCCTGCGTCTACATAACAGAGTGACATTTCATATATAGGTCGCAGCGTGCTGGCATTCAGACAACTGTTGAGTTTTGTGGTTTCTAATGTTTGAAAAGTATCATGTGTAATTCTGGAGGACCACAGTGCAACACTAGGTTCCAAATCTTGAGGTACAAGTTTGGAAAAAGCCTGAGGCCGAAAAAGACCTGAGGTCAGAAGCTAGTTTGGTTTTGGTTTGGATAAGTAAGTTGAGGTTGACTGAGTCTTCTGTCTCTGAATATAGTTCTGGTTCAGCCCAGTGTGAGGGTGTGCCACTTGTTGCTCTGCTTCACTTTAACTGGTTCACTTTAACTGCTTCACTTTAACTGGTTCACTTTAACTGGTTCACTTTAACTGGCTCACTTTAACTGCTTCACTTTAACTGGTTCACTTTAACTGGCTCACTTTAACTGCTTCACTTTAACTGGTTCACTTTAACTGGTTCACTTTAACTGCTTCACTTTAACTGGTTCACTTTAACTGCTTCACTTTAACTGGTTCACTTTAACTGCTTCACTTTAACTGGTTCACTTTAACTGGTTCACTTTAACTGCTTCACTTTAACTGGTTCACTTTAACTGCTTCACTTTAACTGGTTCACTTTAACTGGCTCACTTTAACTGCTTCACTTTAACTGGTTCACTTTAACTGCTTCACTTTAACTGGTTCTCTTTAACTGGTTAACTTTAATTGGTTCACTTTAACTGGTTCACTTTAACTGGTTCACTTTAACTGGTTCACTTTAACTGGTTCACTTTAACTGGTTCACTTTAACTGCTTCACTTTAACTGGTTCACTTTAACTGCTTCACTTTAACTGGTTCACTTTAACTGCTTCACTTTAACTGCTTCACTTTAACTGGTTCACTTTAACTGGTTCACTTTAACTGCTTCACTTTAACTGGTTCACTTTAACTGGTTCACTTTAACTGGTTCACTTTAACTGCTTCACTTTAACTGGTTCACTTTAACTGGTTCACTTTAACTGGTTCACTTGGGACAAATATAGTCTTTTTTTGTGGTTTATTTAGAAGATGTTTTCCCCCAAGTCTCCCAGTTAAAGTGAACCAGAAGTGTGAACGTGCCCTAAGTTACCACCGTGACAAACTCCACAGGGCTCTGGACCAGGGTTAGATCTGATGTAGACCACAGGACCAGGGTTTGGTCTGGTGTAGACCACAGGACCAGGGTTAGATCTGATGTAGACCACAGGACCAGGGTTAGATCTGATGTAGACCACAGGACCAGGGTTAGGTCTGATGTAGACCACAGGACCAGGGTTAGGTCTGATGTAGACCACAGGACCAGGGTTAGGTCTGATGTAGACCACCGGACCAGGGTTAGATCTGATGTAGACCACAGGACCAGGGTTAGATCTGATGTAGACCACCGGACCAGGGTTAGGTCTGATGTAGACCACAGGACCAGGGTTAGATCTGATGTAGACCACAGGACCAGGGTTAGGTCTGATGTAGACCACCGGACCAGGGTTAGATCTGATGTAGACCACAGGACCAGGGTTAGATCTGATGTAGACCACCGGACCAGGGTTAGGTCTGATGTAGACCACAGGACCAGGGTTAGATCTGATGTAGACCACAGGACCAGGGTTAGGTCTGATGTAGACCACCGGACCAGGGTTAGATCTGATGTAGACCACCGGACCAGGGTTAGGTCTGATGTAGACCACAGGACCAGGGTTAGATCTGATGTAGACCACAGGACCAGGGTTAGGTCTGATGTAGACCACCGGACCAGGGTTAGATCTGATGTAGACCACAGGACCAGGGTTAGATCTGATGTAGACCACCGGACCAGGGTTAGGTCTGATGTAGACCACAGGACCAGGGTTAGGTCTGATGTAGACCACCGGACCAGGGTTAGATCTGATGTAGACCACAGGACCAGGGTTAGATCTGATGTAGACCACAGGACCAGGGTTAGATCTGATGTAGACCACAGGACCAGGGTTAGATCTGATGTAGACCACAGGACCAGGGTTAGGTCTGATGTAGACCACCGGACCAGGGTTAGATCTGATGTAGACCACCGGACCAGGGTTAGATCTGATGTAGACCACAGGACCAGGGTTAGATCTGATGTAGACCACAGGACCAGGGTTAGATCTGATGTAGACCACAGGACCAGGGTTAGATCTGATGTAGACCACCGGACCAGGGTTAGATCTGATGTAGACCACAGGACCAGGGTTAGATCTGATGTAGACCACAGGACCAGGGTTAGGTCTGATGTAGACCACCGGACCAGGGTTAGATCTGATGTAGACCACAGGACCAGGGTTAGATCTGATGTAGACCACCGGACCAGGGTTAGGTCTGATGTAGACCACAGGACCAGGGTTAGGTCTGATGTAGACCACCGGACCAGGGTTAGATCTGATGTAGACCACAGGACCAGGGTTAGATCTGATGTAGACCACAGGACCAGGGTTAGGTCTGATGTAGACCACAGGACCAGGGTTAGATCTGATGTAGACCACCGGACCAGGGTTAGATCTGATGTAGACCACAGGACCAGGGTTAGATCTGATGTAGACCACAGGACCAGGGTTAGATCTGATGTAGACCACAGGACCAGGGTTAGGTCTGATGTAGACCACCGGACCAGGGTTAGATCTGATGTAGACCACCGGACCAGGGTTAGATCTGATGTAGACCACAGGACCAGGGTTAGATCTGATGTAGACCACAGGACCAGGGTTAGATCTGATGTAGACCACAGGACCAGGGTTAGATCTGATGTAGACCACAGGACCAGGGTTAGATCTGATGTAAACCACAGGACCAGGGTTAGATCTGATGTAGACCACAGGACCAGGGTTAGGTCTGATGTAGACCACCGGACCAGGGTTAGATCTGATGTAGACCACAGGACCAGGGTTAGATCTGATGTAGACCACAGGACCAGGGTTAGATCTGATGTAGACCACAGGACCAGGGTTAGATCTGATGTAGACCACAGGACCAGGGTTAGATCTGATGTAGACCACAGGACCAGGGTTAGATCTGATGTAGACCACAGGACCAGGGTTAGATCTGATGTAGACCACAGGACCAGGGTTAGGTCTGATGTAGACCACCGGACCAGGGTTAGATCTGATGTAGACCACCGGACCAGGGTTAGATCTGATGTAGACCACAGGACCAGGGTTAGATCTGATGTAGACCACAGGACCAGGGTTAGATCTGATGTAGACCACAGGACCAGGGTTAGATCTGATGTAGACCACAGGACCAGGGTTAGATCTGATGTAAACCACAGGACCAGGGTTAGATCTGATGTAGACCACAGGACCAGGGTTAGGTCTGATGTAGACCACCGGACCAGGGTTAGATCTGATGTAGACCACAGGACCAGGGTTAGATCTGATGTAGACCACAGGACCAGGGTTAGATCTGATGTAGACCACAGGACCAGGGTTAGATCTGATGTAGACCACAGGACCAGGGTTAGATCTGATGTAGACCACAGGACCAGGGTTAGATCTGATGTAGACCACAGGACCAGGGTTAGATCTGATGTAGACCACAGGACCAGGGTTAGGTCTGATGTAGGCCACAGGACCAGGGTTAGGTCTGATGTAGACCACAGGACCAGGGTTAGGTCTGATGTAGACCACAGGACCAGGGTTAGATCTGATGTAGACCACAGGACCAGGGTTAGGTCTGATGTAGACCACAAGACCAGGGTTAGATCTGATGTAGACCACAGGACCAGGGTTAGGTCTGATGTAGACCACAGGACCAGGGTTAGATCTGATGTAGACCACCGGACCAGGGTTAGGTCTGATGTAGACCACAGGACCAGGGTTAGGTCTGATGTAGACCACCGGACCAGGGTTAGGTCTGATGTAGACCACAGGACCAGGGTTAGATCTGATGTAGACCACCGGACCAGGGTTAGGTCTGATGTAGACCACAGGACCAGGGTTAGATCTGATGTAGACCACAGGACCAGGGTTCGATCTGATGTAGACCACAGGACCAGGGTTAGATCTGATGTAGACCACAGGACCAGGGTTAGATCTGATGTAAACCACAGGACCAGGGTTAGATCTGATGTAGACCACAGGACCAGGGTTAGATCTGATGTAGACCACAGGACCAGGGTTAGGTCTGATGTAGACCACAGGACCAGGGTTAGATCTGATGTAGACCACAGGACCAGGGCCATTGAATTCATGAATGACCACATATTTCAATGTAAGTGAGATTCATAGACCTGCAAAAAGATGTTAAATCCCTGATAACTTTTTAGCTATTTTTTAGCTGATAAAAACTTTATACTTTGTGAAAGAGAGGCCTAAGTTGTTTTAGTGCAGTGTGTTAAGCAGAGATGAAACAGTTTTGACCCAATAGCAGTGAGATGTCGGTGTGAAATGGTTAATCGTGTTCTGTCTCTGGTTCTTATAAAAATGCTGCGTCTGAACAGAAGTGTAGATGGTGCTTTGAGAGGGTGGAACAAAGTGAGTTGGAAAAGTCAAATTTTGAAGAAAGCTCTGACATACAACAACAAAAACAAACAAAAAAGGTTGCTGGACTCAAACACAATATGGGCAGATGAGATTTTAACTACTTTAACTATCAATCAATCAATCAAATTTTTATTTGTATAGCGCCCAACAACAGCCAGAAGGTGCCCAGGGCGCTTTCCAGGATAAAAACAAGAATCACAATAGACACCGATAAAAACAAACACATAAAAAGAACAGCAGTCGAGTCAGTGATTATGCATTGAATGCTTTCCTGAAAAGATGTGTCTTCAACTGTGATTTAAAAACACTCAACTCAGTGATGTTTCGAAGCTGTACAGGAAGTGCGTTCCACAGCTTTGGGCCTTGGGCAGCAAATGAACGGCCTCCAAACTTTTTGTATTTGAATTTGGGAGTGACGAGGGAGGTGTGTTCAGAGGAGCGCAGAGCTCTGGCTGGTTTGTAGACCGTTACTAGTTCGGCGAGGTAGGCCGGGGCCAGACCATTGATAGCCTTGAACACAAACATCAGACCCTTAAACTCCACCCTAAATGCCACCGGGAGCCAGTGGAGAGAGCGGAGGACTGGGGTGATGTGTGAGCGTCTGGAGGTGTTGGAGAGGAGACGAGCTGCTGCGTTTTGTACCAGTTGAAGCCGATTGAGGCAGGGACCCACGATGTCAATAGCCTCCTTCATAATCCTGGTAGGAGCAGCGTCTAGAGGGCAGGTGGTAGCCTTCAACTCATGGACAGCTTTTTTGAGGTCCACAAGGGTAACTAGTACCCAGAAATAGCGCAAAACATAAATCTCCAGTGTTCAAAACAGTATTCATAATTCAGCCGCTTTTTAGGGAAGAAGCAGTTTATTTGCATCTTTGCTCTCACACTGATATGACCACAGGCTCCGTGCGCAGAAGGAGACACAGAAAACGTCACCTCACTCTGACTCGAGGGGAGCCAACACTGCCTGCCTCCCACCTGCTGGCTTCCCAAAATAAAAATGTAAATTCCTCTGTCATAATTCCCTCTATTGTAAAACAATGGGAAGGACAACCGCAGTGCGCCTCATGCCCTGAAGCCAGCCTACCTGTAAGAGCCAATTTCTCTCATTTCCACCTCAGCAGCAGGCGAAGGACTCCGACTGCAGCCCGAGCCCTGGAAGCACCTGTCCAAGCCTCTGTCACAGCCTGAGCCATACAGGGTCTTTGCTCGCCACGTTTGTAACATCAAAGCATTCGAGCAACATGGTAAAGGGTTAGCATGCACAGCGGGATGGAAAGTTTTCAGTCAGAACAGAATCTGTGAGCCAGGATTTCTTTGGCAAAAACACACTTATTTTGAAATGTGAGTCTTCAGAAAGAGCCGTTATAAATTGTTCGTGTGAATGCACTGAAATACATAAGTTGTGCAGCAGGAGGTAAGGCACTTATAGGGATTTTCATGCTTTATGAAGTGGTGAAAATGTAAGTTTACTCTTCAGTTTAGCTCACTCTAAGTTTACAGACTAAAGGGTAGATTTAGTCAAACTAAGAGAGGAAATATTTCTTATGCATTCAATGAGATGTATTCTCGCTCAAACACAAGAAATGCAATGATAGAAAACACATTCATTGGTTCATAAAGAGCAGATGACAAGTGTCCACGAGGGTTGTTGAATGTTGAGTGTCCTGGATCATCACCACTGTTCTTTTGTTATGTTAGACCCTCCTGCATCCTCCTGTAAATGTCTCCTGTGTGAGATCAATAAAGTCTATCTTATCTTATCGGCAAAGACAAACTCTAAAACCCACTGGGAAAAGGTGAGAGACCTTAAGATAAGATAGGACTTTATTGATCTCACATTGAGAGAGGGAACCCACAGACGGACGGGCTCTAGATCCAGAACTAAAGCCCTTACTATATAAGTTATTGATTATAATTATTGTTTATTATTTTGCTCTTTATGGACGATGTTGTTGATCAGCACCTCCAAACCGAGGACTTGGGGCTCGACTGTAGAAAAGTGCCTTGTCCTCTCCACAACCCGTTCTTGAGGAGGCAAGTGGAGGACTTTGATCCATGTACCCACCCTCACCATGGGAAGCTTTGGGTAATGACCAAATAACCCAAAGCCTGGATACAAGCGGTCAAAACAAGTTTAAGAGATTTGAGATCTTTCCTCTCCCGAACCTGGTTTCAAAATAGTGAATTTTCAGATCCCCAAAATGCCCTCTTTGTATGTATTGATAAAGTCTTTTTGCATTAGGCCTGATCTGGACTTAGTGTTGACAGGACAATAGACACAAACCTTTTTACTATACTCGCACATTCAAACCTTCCTCTTTAATTCAGCACATGGTTCAGAAGGTAATACTCAGGTGAGACTTAGAACTACAACCATAAGTCTAAAAACACAGATCATGCTGTATCAAGCTGAATACGGAGACCCTTGTCTGTCATCATTTCGACTTCAGCTGTAGTCTGTTCATTGCTACTTACCCACTGTCCCATTGTCTGTTTCATGGCTTGACCTCATTCTACGACCTGAGTCCTGGATCTATAGCCTGTCCCTTCATCCTGCTCCCTATGGACCAATAGCTCATAAATGTTTGTTATTATTGTATTTCCTGTGTTGATGTTTGATTCTCTGATCTGTTGTTGACGAATCAGCAACTTTGTAAAGTCCCCAGAGACAATTGCTTCTGTGATTTAAGACGTAAGACAAATATACATTGAAGTGAATTGAATGACATTCTAATCACATATAACTATAACAAGTTCTGCATACATTTTGCCAATTTAATTATAGGGTTCTGCATTCTGGGCTCTTCCAAGATATTGATGTAGAAATAACAGATAAGTCCTCTTCATTCTTTGGGAAGATCACACGCAGCAGTTGTCTGATGTCTTGATAGCTCCCAGACCAGTGCTGTGCATTTGTCCTTTTAGAGACATAACAGCCTCGTGGGGTCAGGGTGTACTCAGACTCAAGTGTTACCTGTGATATAAAGACAGACGGGGACTCGGGTCAAGCTCAGATGTGAGAAGAATGAGTTATCATCTTTTCTCTTTCAGTGTCATTCCAGTGCCATATTCAGCCGAAAAGTTGCAAGAATCCTACTCGCTGAGACGGCAGACGGCTGACACATGACGAGCTGACCTGCCCTGACATTTTCTGCATCTCTGCGTCTGTCTCTCAGGTTAACAGTTAGATGTGCTCGAACAAAGAGCCTGATGCCCAAAAGGTTCCACAAGCATCCTGAGATTAATGCTATTTTTCTTTATTGTGACGCCTCTGACTATTGTGGTGCCACTGTAAAGCTTTTCAAAGACAGACGGGAGTCATTAGTGAGACACTGAAGCATAAACGTGGCCAATTTGAAGAAAAGCTGCGAGGAAGCCATGGGGAATATGCCGATCGCAATTGTGTAAAGCCGTACAAAACCACTGCTCACTTTTTTTTCTTAGTATTAAAGCTTTCAAACCACAAAAAATACAACTACATACTAAAATCAAACTAGTCCCTTGCTTTCGATGACATGTATTTTTGATCTCAGTAATATCTTTATTCATTCATTGTCTACCCCTTTGTTAATCCATTTCTGGGTGGGGGGTGGGGGGTGGGAGGGGGGGTGGGGTGACAATGAGAGCTGCTACCCAATTCTCATAGTCCCTCGCTGAACCTCCGGCAGGTCCACAGGAAAATGGCTGCTCCGTCATGGCCCATGGTGGTACAGCGGGGGCTTCGGGCAAAGTGGGGTTAAGTGTCTTGCCCAAGGACACAACGACGGCAGACTTCAGTGGGACCTTCAGGCTCAAAGGCCAATGCTCCACCAACTGAGCCACTGTCTCCCAAGTGATATCTTTAGATCAGCTTTTTCGAACAGAAAAGTGTCAAATAGTCAAATAGTGACTCACAGGGATCTTTCTCACAAATATGGGAACACTACAATCTTTTCTCGTGAGATGAACACAGCATGTTGTGTGCATATTCTACTTCTCAGAGTTTCCCATGTACTGTTGAAAATGAAACAAGATGCGGATCGGCTTGGGATCGTGTCACAGACAGAAGACATTTTATTGATGTTACAAACGACACGGGCAGTTATTCGTTGTGTGCAGATGATATTATACCATGAAGGAAACATAGACCGTCCAATCAGCAGCTGCCAGATAGCCAGAAGCTTTGCCTTTCAGCTTTAATCATAGTTGCTTAAAAAGAGTTTTAAGCAGTAGGGGCGGGTCATGGCCCAAAAACGTCCCCGAGCAGGTGCGCAGGCAATACCGCTCCAGGCCGTTGGGGTGGACCCGGAAAGATAATTTTTCAGTGCTTTTGTATTTTTGCCTCTCGAAAACGGTTTTACAGGATGGTCCAAAAGTCTACAAAAAGCTACAAATTAGCAGTCTAGTTTAGCCTCTGTGGACTTCAGAAGGTACTCGTTCGAGGAATGGGGCTTATACCGACTAACGCATGGCCGTTACATATTCCTGCTGGAGGGGCTGCCCGTGGCCATTTTGAAAAAGCCCCATAGAAGCCATAGAAGTGATGGCACATTCATTTCAATGGCGGGGAAAGGCGTGACTATGTCTGTTAATATTTACACTCTATGGTTATAAGAGATCCATAGAACTCTATACAAGTAAACACTATGATGTGGTTCAAAAGACTCACTGGGTTTACACAGACATCATTTTCTCATCTAATTATAGAGTGTGGTGCGTAAGGAGCGGAGACGGAGGCGGTGTGTCAAACAGCAATGACAAACATACTCGTTTTAATGCCATAAAACAGCCAGTGTTAACATAACTTTCCTTACACAACCAAAGCTTCTTAACAGGGGAGAACATGTGCACAGGTATATATCGTCCCCCCGGAACACCGCGAGGGTAACAACAGTTAATTGGGTGAATTATGTAAAGCACCACAAGAGAATCGTAAACTTTTATTATGACGGAGGGTCCTGCACACACACAATCATTTAATGTCATTAATGTTAAATGAATGTACACACAGAACAAGTAATCCAACCGTAAAAACCGGTATCTCTTGAGCAGCAGCCACGGATCTAATCTTATCTTTGCCACTCCATCAGTGGTCACCTCCAGCTGACCGTGTGACGCGATTCCACTGACACTTCTGAGGCCTCACGCTGCTCCTCTCCCTGCATCTGATTAGCCTCCTCCGGCACCTCCCTCCAAGTTTATCAGCAATTACTGGCCCTCGGAAATCTAAAGGGGTTGCAGGTCCTTCTCGTATTTCCATGGCAACCACCTCTCCTCTGCTTTCAACGCAATCAATCAGACAGCAAGTGTGTAATCCGCCTCTCCATGGGGCGAAAACAGGAGCTAAAGTTCACTGAGAGATGACCAAACACATATCTGAGATGTTCTTAATCACAATGTTTGAGTATGGTTTGGAATTGTTGTGATGCCAGTGGAGAAGAAAGAGTTGTGCGTGAAAGTTCAAACACCCAGAGATGTCATTGCTTCTGCCATATTCTGGAGATTAGGAATGAAAACACAAACAACTTTTCACCTTTTCCATATATTTGACGAGTAGAATCATCCACAAGTACCATCAAATCCTTCAAACCGTCAGAGATGTTAAAAGCGCAGATTTCTGTTGTCATTATGGTTTATGATTAATAATTCTGTTGATTATTCTATAATCCAGAATGTGTGTATGTAGTGTGTTTTGAGTGCCTTTTTTTCTGTACTTTTTCTTTTGTAATATGAAAAGTTTGATTGTAATTGTTTTTTTTAGGGGTGGGGGTACTCATAAGCTTTTTACTTCAGCCCACTCCTTTTGTGCAGTATGAATAAAAAATAGAAAAAATAATTTGAACACAGAAAGTTGTTTATTTTGACCATAAAGGGGTTAACACAGCCACTAACGATGTGTGTGTGTGTGTGTGTGTGTGTGTGTGTGTGTAAACTTTCAAGCACAACCATATCCATAAACACTTGTATTTATCCATACAGGGGTTAAACACATGCATTGGAACAAGAGCAGCAATATCAAAAACATCTTCTTTTGTTACATCCTTTCTTTGTTCTTTTGTTCGCTTTGGGCGTAAGAGTGATGGGAGACCGCCTGATCCATCCAGACCTCTGCAAAGTCTGCGTATTGCCTCATTCCAGCCGCAGTGATCCTGAGCCAAGCTGAAAACAAAACTTCTGTAAAAAGTGAGAAAAGAAAAAGTCAGCAGTCTCCACAGCAGTGGAACCATAGTGTCTGTGCAACTGTTGCTGTTCTATTCTCACCAAAGCTGCCATCTCTGAATGAAAAAGTTTGATACTGGCCCCATAGCCATTGAGGATTTTTTTGTGAAATGGAAATGTATTCAGTTAGGTTGGCACTTCTGGGGAAATGCAGACCTTGCATTTGACCCATCCTCTAATGGCACGTGACTAGGCGCCTCTCTCAGGAGCAGTAGGCACCGCAAGGACCCATCTCCAGGTGCTGATGCTTGGCTTGGTCTGGACCAGAGCTGGAGGATTTTACCTATGGTGCATGTTTTTAGTTGTAGGTCAAACAGGAGACAGAGGAAGAACGCAGTGTTCATAAGTCCTCCTTGTTCGTTGTACACCCTGACAGCAGCAGAAATGAAAGACCTGCGGAACCTTTCTTTCCCACAGCGAGGGTAGATAAGTCTGTCACTGAAGCTGCTCTCCAGAGCAGACAGTGTCCTGCAGGGGGCGACAGTCATGGTCCAGCATAGATGTTAGTTTGTCCAGGACCCTCCTGTCCCCCACCTGCTGCACTGTGTCCAGGGAACAGCCCAGGACTGAGCTGGACTTCCTGATGACTTTGTCCAGCTTTTTCTGTCCCTCTCTGTGATGCTGCTGCTCCAGCAGACCACACCGTAAGAGGCTGACACAACAGTCATAGGAGGTCTTCAGGAGTGGCCCCTGCACTCCCCACACACATTTAATGTATACAATTAACCAACTCTGTCTGCCATTGACGCATTAATGCGTTAATTAATGTTCATGTTCCCAGATGTCTATTATATCTAATGTGTATAGGGATTAGCTTTAGAGCATATTTTATCGATCCAGAAGATTTGTTTTTGTTGTTTTATTGAAGGGAACAATGTTCACAAGTTGAAAAAATTACTGAAGTAAAACATATTCTGTCAAAGTCACTTTTCTGCATGGTGTGGTCATTGTCACATAAGCCTCTTTTTTCAGGTTTTTGTCTGAGACTAGTGATTTCAGTAAAACTTCCCTCTACTCGACTGGGGATTACAGGGGAACGAAGTTTGAAAAAAAAATATTTATGCTGATGAAAGTAGACATAATCTGGTTTCGGATTTCAGATAGTCATAGTACACAATATTCTGTGGGTCTTGAAAAATCAATAAAAATCATCATAAACTGCTGGCAATATGGGAGTACCTGTTCTGAAATGGGCTGGCAGGCAATGAGTTACAGGAACATTTTGAGGAAGCGCTGTTACATGCCAACCCTTTTTACACACCATGGCGTGTTCCCCTTCATCTTGCTTTCCTATTCTCTATTTTATGTTGCTGAAATTCACATAATGCAAATACTAGCCCAATTAATCAGTCTAGTTTTATTCTCCTTGCAAAGTCCCAGTCAGCCGCTTCCCTCACAGACGGGCCAACATCCAGGAACATTTGGAACCTTATCTCCCAGATGTAATCAGCAGGAGGCCGGAGCAGAAGCAGGAGCCTCAAACGAGCTGACGACGGGAGGAGCTGATGGACAGGAGAGAGTGGCACTGGAGATACAGCAGCGTGTGTTTGAACCCAGCGTGAAGAACGGAGGACGATTATAGTGAAAAGGAAAGAAATGATGTCACACATTTCATGCAATGTTGGACAATAAGATCAGACACAGACACACTCTCCTCCTCACTTAGCACTGTCATTGTGCCAACTACTATGGCCACAAAACCTCAACAATCATTCATATTTCAGACAACAGAAGCTTCAGGGCATTCTTATATTATTCTGGGCAAGCTGCTCTATTTCTAATCTTTTCGTTCCATCTGTTTTAAATGATTAACTTTCACACGTAACACATTCCACATTTTCAATTCCACATTAATTTGCATACCCTTATTCTTCTTCTTTCATACAGAAAAGTGTATAGATAGTTTTTGCTCTAAAACAATACTGAAACACATGATTCAGTTGTGGCTATTTGATCCTGAGTTTTACTTATACAGCTTTTATCCCGACCAGAGGCACACGGATTAAAGAACGAACATAGTGGATATGTGCTCGAGGCTTGAGTTTAACTGTTGTTCAAATCTGCGGCTCCGGGGAAAGTGTTGGAGGAGTTTTGTCAACGTAAAATAACGTGATGGGGTAAAACTCTTGAGTTATTGCGAGGAGATGTCACGCAAATGTAGTATCTCCGTGACGATGAGTAGAAACCTGAAGAAATATTGCCGTAAGAAAAAAAGTCCCACCTTGAAACAGGGGAACCTAACTTTACACTTTAGTTTAGCGTAATAAAATCCATGTAGCTAGTTTCTCATGCTCAACACCGGATGAAAAGATTGTCATTTATATGAATATTAACTTTCTGTGTCGGGCTTAGACGATTCTGGATGTTGTATTGGACCGTTCTCTTTGATTCGATACGCACATCGAGTGTTGATGCTGAAACCCGTCTCCACATGGACCCAACCTAAAACAAATATATTATTAGGAATTCACACATATGCACACACACACACACACACACACACACACACACACACACACACACACACACACACACACACACACACACATATATAAATACACAGTCACATCAGGTGGGTAAAGTAGGTAAGACCATGAAAAGATATAGGGCTGGGTGCAGATGTAACCAGCTGAAGAAGCGCCATCCAAGGAGCCGTCTGCACCAGGAGCAGAGAGCCGGCTGCAGCCAGAGGGGACGACACAGGACCCAGAGGAGAGAGGGGCCCCAAGACCCCACCAGGCCCAGGACTCAGACCCCACAGGACCCAGAGGAGACAGCTACAGCTTTCACAAAGGTTGGGTTTTTTGGGGATTTTAGTTTTCCTTCTCATCCTGAACTTTTTGTATTTGAAATCGTATGGTTTTCTTTAAATCCACACTTTAGTGAAACAAACGCTTCCTCTGTGAAAATAAGATAAATGCCAGGTTTTAAAATACATATAATCTAACACATTAATTACTCAAACCTCAAAAGACAATTCTATTACATGTGGCATTGTGCTTCATGGTCCTGCAATGAGAATTTAACCAAATCGTGACATCCCTAATGTGACATCTTAAGTTCCAGTATTCGTTAACTGAAGGAACATTCCAGTGAAGTTGTCCTGGTTACCATGGCAGTGTTTTCTTCAATTACTCTAAATTTGCATTTTAACAATAACATCTTGATGTTGTTGAGCTGAATAAGACATGGCTCAGGTCATATTTCCTCCAGGCCCTGCACTGGTTTAATGATATACAATGACACAGTACAATACTCAAATTAGCACAGGAATCTATGCAATTTTACTGATATTGGCAACATTCTCCTTCTGCAAATGACAAACTATTCATGTTACACTCTGAGCAAAGGATGACGTGGAAATAACAGTATGAGTTGTTAGGGATGAATGAAAGCAATGGTCAAGGAGTCAAGTGTTCAGTGCGGCTCGTCCGATGTGTGCGTGTACGTGTGTGTGTGTGTGTGTACGTGTGTATATGTGTGTGTGTGCTGGGATGCTGCCAAGCCCTCGACTCTGAGCGACTGTCTGTGGCTCTAATGACTGTACACTTTGATTAATCCTGATGCAGTCATGAAACACACGCACACACACACACACACACACACACATGCACAGACACAAGCACGCTTTCAGACAGACGGAGAGCGCTGCAGGCTCATGGTGTGTTGTAACAAGAAGTCACCATCACAATCGAGGCTATACTTCTGCCACAATGGCTAACACAAAACATCTATTCTATCATTCTGACGGGCCACTCCATTTGTTGCATCTCTGATTATATCCTCTGTCATCCTGGGGCACTGCATGTCGTGTTTGTGCGTTTTGCTGATGTCTAAATCCCCCTGACGGCTCCCCGGCTCTCTCTACTCTTGAAGAACAGCTTTGAGAAAACATCCCATAAAAGTCTTAAGGCGTGTTGTTAGCAAATTGCATAATATGATTTGG